TATGACAGGAGAGTTTCAGAGAGGAAAAGAAATATGTGAGGTAAGATTTCGATAAGTCCAAATAGTTGGCTTCTATGCAGATTCATGGACTTATTACAACGGCTTGATGTCTTGCAGGCTATGGAAGCAAACAAAGCTGATTGGGATACCCTTTTTGAGCCATTTGCATTCTTTGAAGCGTATAAAAACTATCTTCAGATAGACATTTCCGCTGCAAATGTCAATGATCTAAGAAAATGGAAAGGCTGGGTTGAGTCACGCCTCCGCCAGCTCACACTGAAGGTGAAAACCCCTGTTTCCTTTAACTTGAATGAATAGTTTCGCTTGATTTTGCTTTGCTAATGACTTGTCTTGGATGTTTGCATTGTAATCTTAGATCGAGAGACATACTTATGATATGCTTCAATGCCACCCTCATCCCCATGATTTTCAAGACGCATCCCGGCCACTCCATTGCTCTTACTTCATGGGTCTGCAACGTAAACAAGGAGTTCCAGCAGCAGAAGGCGAGCAATTTGATATCAGAAGAACCGTTGAGGAGTTTAAACACACTGTCAACGCTTACACATTGTGGATTCCTGGGATGGAGATTAGTGTCAGCCATATAAAACGGAGAAGCTTACCTAATTATGTGTTTCCTGGTGGAGTTAGACCTTCACATACCTCTAAAGGAACATGGGATAGCAATCGCCGTTCAGAGCACAGAAATTCTTCTACATCAAGTGCACTAGCTGCTGCTACTACCACTACTGAAATGAGTTCTGAAAGTAAAGCTGGTTCTAACAGTCCAGTTGATGGGAAGAAGAGAAAATGGGGAGATAATGAAACACTCACCGATCAGCTAAGGAAGTCTAAACACATTGCTGTTTCAGTACCTGTAGAGAATTGTGAAGGCGGGAGTCCAAATCCATCTGTTGGATCGATTTGTTCAAGTCCTATGAAAGATTATTGTACAAACGGTAAATCTGAGCCTATTAGTAAGGATCCACCAGAGAATGTTGTTGCTTTCAGTAAGGAACCAGCAGAGAGTCTTCCGATAGAAAAGATAGCCACTCCTCAAGCTCCTAGTCAAGAAACTGAGGAGCTTGAAGAAAGTTTTGATTTTGGAAATCAAGTGGTTGAGCAGATATCTCATAAAGTTGCAATCCTGACTGCTACTGCAACTATACCTCCATTCGAAGCTACTTCAAATGGCTCTGCATTCCCTAACGAAGCAGTGGAAGAACTTGAGGTTTCTTATTTTTCTTATCAATTTTGGATACATAAACTGGTCTCTTGATCTTGTTCCTCCTGTCTAATTTTTCTTTTCTTGAAAGGTTCTTCCCATGCGACAGCCCGATGCGGCACATAGACCTTCAGTACAACAGCGAAAACCGATAATCAAGTAAGTGGTTTTGTGTCTTATGTGTAACGTTTGAATATGCATTTTTGGAATTTGACTAAGATTGTTTGCTTTTTGTTTGTCTGATTATTCGCAGATTGAGCTTCACGTCTCTAGGCAAAACCAATGGCAAGTAATAATGGCTTTTCCCTACATTGTCAAGAATCTTAGCACTTATGTTAAGTTGAGGGGTTCTTGTTACTTTATGTAAAAGACAAGTCTTATATTATATGCTTCTCTTAGATGTTCCAAGTCCTAAATACTTTGACCTCATGTAAAACTCGTTTGGATAAGATTAATGTAATGTGTTCTTGTCTATGGATCCCAAACACTTTTTCTGTCCTGAACAAAAGTCTGCATTGAGTTCTCTTCACAGATAAATAAACGCATAGCAACATTACGAAATGACAAACTTGTTGAATGATGTATGTCCTACCAATATCATTTGAAAAGTACACCAAAATTGATACTAACTTTTAATTTGACAAATACTACATTCAATTGTCATTAGAACATCTTTAAGAAAATCTTTTAAATGTAAGGTTATGACAACTTTCGATTATCTCAAATCAACAACTTTAGATTAATCTCTAATCTTTGCCGAAATCTGAAATGCAGATTCAACGTTAAAACATCGTCTTAAATCTTAGTTGCGTGCGTGTCTGCTATATGCTAACTTACTACTCTCTACCTGTTTTAAATCTACCAAGGCAACATAATACATAGATTGCAAACTCTTGTTCTTACAAGTGTTGTAAAAATAGTGATTTCAGTCACATAAATAGAGACCCAACAGAAGAAAATCAAAAGACATATAATTGTAATTGCTAAATGCAAAAACAAACAAATATGAATTGAGTATCAGATGATTCAGATCTATACAGCAAGATGGCTTAAATGGAATATCTTGAGCTATCAGAAACCAGACGAGATACACACAACTCTCTCAAGGCTTGACGTATGCTGTCTTCTTACAGACCGGGCAAGCATTCTTCCTCGATAGCCATTGTTTCACGCAATGGACATGAAAGCTGTGTCCACAGTTTAATTTCCCAACCTCATCCTCACTCTCATACTCATCCTGTCATCATCAAACAATAAGGAATAGCAGTATGAAACTGTCTGAAGTTTCGAGAAGCCATTGTCTCAATCTGGAGTTTACCTGACAAATGCTACATTTTCTATCACCAAGAGTATGTGATATGGAGGGTGTGATTTTCCCAAGACAGCGATGTATCTCGCTTTCTTTAAGTCCAGTTTTCACATAACCAATCCTATCACCAAGCTCAAGAAGTTGCTGTGTATATCAAAGGAAACACGCTCGATAAAGTTGAGAAGATGAGATTGTAAGCGTTTTTCTCATGAGATTTTGAGAAACATTACCTCGTATGACATGCTATCAACATCGAGCCTCAATTCATGGTAGTGATCACGGGAATCTGTTATTCTTCCCATTACGAAACCATTCTGGAGCATCATCATCTGCAGTCAACAGCAGGATCTTTTTAACATGCTGCATGGTTTAGTTCTTTAACTTGCTCACTTGCCATTAGCCATCCAAAACAGTTTTACAGCACCATAGAAAATATTTAGCCGAAGAGAACGAGTACGTTATTTGGCTTCTACTCTATCAGTCACTGGAATATGTTAGAGACAAAAGGGCAATCTAGAATAACCACTTAGGTGATATGAAGCCAAGTAACAAGTCAAACCTTAAAACAGCGTTGAATGTGATCAGTTAATAAAGTTAGGAGTCAAATCTATAACATTTACCAGATACAAGAAAGATAAGGCAACTATTTGGCAAGAACATTCTACCTGGGTAAGATCATCACGGTAAGAGCGTCGAAGATGGCCACGACATCTGCTTGTTGGTTCAGCGCGTGATGATGTCACAAAAGTCGAATCAGAGTTGAAGAAAGCATGAGAATGAGATTCTTGATCGACAGAAGAACCCTGAAGAACATTTGTAGCATTATTGTGTTATCATTTCTCAAACTTACACAAGATGATATATAGTTCCTTAATTTTCAAGTCCTCTGAAGCAATGAGTTTCTTTGATCAAAATAAATCCAAGAACTCCCCTAACCAATTGAATCCAACCATAAGCTTAAACAACGCTAAGATTCCATCCTCTAAGCAAACGAGACAAAAAGCATGCTAAGATTCCATTCTCTAACCAAACCACAATTCTGATTTTGTTTATTGATCATCAAACCCAGAAGGACCACCCACACGTCAAACAAAGTAATAACTCTATATAATCCTCACATGAAACAAAAACTAATAATAGAGAATAATCTCTACAACTAAAGTAGACCCTTGTGATTTGTCTAAAAGAGAGTCCAAAACAGAAACACAAATTTAATAAACCAAACCAACATGGCCCAGAGCAATAGTATAGAGCTAACTACAACCACTCCAAATAGTTCTTCCTAAACTATACCATTTGCTCAAAGTCAAAATCAATAACACTCCTAATTACTATCATTCATCAAAATTCACTGGCAAGTTAGATCAAATTTACCTGTGTGTTGTTATCCACATCAATGTTGCGACGAGACGACGGAATATTCTTTCTCCGAAGAGGATCGACCGATCGATCAACAACAGCATCCGTCGAGAACCCTAGTCCAGGTCCGCACCAAACATCAGGAATCGCGACGCAACCACCACCATCAACGTCTCTAGCTTCGTTTAAGATCCTAATCGAACCATCTTCGTAGCTTCCTTTGTTCTTCTTTTTCTTATGCTTCTTCTTCTTATCTTTTCTGATTCTGGCATCCCAATCTGCAGAAGAGCGAATCACGGAGGGAACAGAAACCTCCTGAGCTGCTGCTGCTGCGGCAGTGCAACCCATACCACGAAACGACGACGTTTGGTACGGTTTCTTCCTGGTGGTTTCGTTGGAGGAGGAAGTCGGGAGGAGAAAGAAGGAAGACATTGCGGAGTTACAGAACCGATTAGGTTGAGAAATCGGAAGAACGACATGGAGATGACGGATTGTTTGGTTTCTAGCTCCTCGGAGTCTGATGTGTTCGCCGATTGTTGTCGAAGACATTCTCAGGAGAAAATGGAAATGTGGGAGAGAGAGAGAGAGAGAGAGAGAGAGAGAGACAGCGTGCGGGGAAGAAGGATGAGAGAGAGTGATTCAAGCTCATGATGATGATACAGTTTTTGTATAATGATTATAATTTCTTTTAAAAAATGATTAGTATAAATTTTCATATATAATACTCCATTATTAGAAGTTTATTTTTTAAGAAATAGCTTTTGTATTTACATGCAACCGTTAGTATGCTTCCAAACAAAATCAGCTCATGCATATCTTGTGAATATTAGTATATGCGTTGTGAGAAATTTCAAATATCAACTATATACGTGACGTGCCAAGTTTTGTTAATTTTGTAATAACATTACTACCAAATTAGTAATAATGATTTAATTAAAGAGATACATAGTGTGGATTTATATGTTTTGTTGGTTAATTTGAGAACTTGTCAGGGTTTTTAGATCTTTTGGACAATTTATTTCAATGATTTTGCTTATTTCCAGATTTCAAAATTTTAAAGTGATGCTTGCTTGTAAGAATAGGAAAGGTCTCATCTCATCTAATGTCACTTTTTCCTTTTTGTCAGATCTATTTCGCAATAAAACGTGAAAGTTGCAACCCTATTGAAAACTGATTCTAGCTTCCACATTAATTGGCCTACTGGTCCTTTGAGAGCCCAAAACTAGACATAATAAGCCCACTTGAAACTGATTTTAGCTTCCACATTAATATGCCTTAATGGTCCTTAGGATATTATTATTCATACACATATAATTGTAAGATATGGTTAAATTTTTTATCTAAACAATGTTAAAATAAAACAAAGAAAATGCAACAGAGATAAATGTGAAATAATCTAAAAAATTATAGAAAATTACTTCAATAGAAAAGGAAGTTATGTAAAATTAAGTGCATCTGCCACCTGTTATCATTAACTTATTTATACCAAAAAGAAAAGAAAAGGAAAAGCTCTAAAGCTTGACCCGCAAGTCACTTTTGTGTTGTAGCTAGCTATATAAGGGCAGTTAGACCTTGGGGCTTGGGTGATCTACTCCTCTGCTCTCATCGTCATCTTCTTCACTTTCTTTCAACTCTCTACAGTTTCTCTTCGTCTTCGTTCTCTGCTCCTCCATCGATGGCGAATAATCATCATCCCAAGGATGAGGCTTATCTCTCATCCGTCATCCCCAAGCGTATCAGGATCTTCGAGGAAATCCAAGCCGAACAACTTGAGCAGCTTCAATCTCGGCCACACGATCCGATCAAGTAAATACGATTCTATTAAATTGTTCATAATACACTAGGGTGCTTTAATTTGTTTGCCTAGCTAGGGTTTTTGCAATTTGTTAATTTCTGGTTTTTGTTTTGACTGCTTAGGATCACTCTTCTCCCAGACGGTATCGTGAAAGAGGGGAAGAGATGGGAGACAACTCCAATGGATATCGCAGTGCAGATTTCTAAGGGTTTCGCCAAATCTGCTCTGGTTTCTTCGGTTGATCATGTCCTGTGGGACATGAATAGGCCCCTGGAAGGTGATTGTTCGCTAGAGATTTTCGGATTTGACAGCGACCAAGGCCGTGATACTTTCTGGCATTCTAGTGCTCTCATTCTAGGTCACGCTCTCGAGCAGGAGTATGGATGCAAGCTATGCATTGGACCCTGCAAAACCATAGATGAGGTAAGAGCAGTTATCGTTTGTTCTGTTTTTTATTTTCCCTTAATTATGTTTCTTTGGCTAAGAGTAGAAAAAGAAAGGAGGAATCAATATTGTTTGGTTCTTGGTATTTCATCTGTAATGTTGCAAAGACAGGCTATCTCTGATGGTAATTGTTATTTCAGGGCTTCTTTTGCGATGCATTTTATCACGGCGAGCTGGGCTTAAACGACAATCATTTTCCAAACATCGAAGCAGGTGTTTCGAAAGCTGTTCAGGTATTATTGCTTCTTCCTTGTAGTAGTAGATGTTGTAATATGTTTGCTGAGTGATATATGTCAACCAATATATAGTGTTCTAATTCTATTCATATGTACATCGCAGGAAAGACAACCATTTGAAAGGATTCAAGTGACCAAAGGATCAGGCACTCGAGATGTTTTCTGATAATAAATTTAAGGTGGGGTTTTAGAGAAGAAGTAGTGACATAAAAATCATTCAACCTTTGAATTGTCTTTTTTGGACTTATTCTTCTGCTGTTAATTAATTATCTTATAGGTTGAAATCGTCAATGACGACTTGGCTGAAGAAGCGACCATTACAGTCTACAGATGTGGCCCCTTGGTTGATTTGTGTCCCGGACCACATATACCAAATACTTCCTTTGTGAAAGCTTTCAAATGTTTGAAGGTGAACATTCCAACTCTTATCTCTAGCTAGAAACTACAAGACTACAAATTATTGTTTGTTTTCTGATGCTTTCGAAATTTACCATTATTCAATCTTTTTTTTTTTTTTTTTTTTTTTTTTTTAATCTCAGGCGTCAGCCTCTTACTGGAGAGGTAACAGCTACCGCGAGAGCTTGCAGAGAGTTTATGGGATATCTTATCCGGATAATAAGCAACTCAAGGTACCCTGCTTTAGTTGCTTGTTAAAATATTTTAAAATGTTAATCATGACTATATATGCATGATTTCTAATTTTCTATAATCATTGCAGGACTATCTTAAGTCTATAGAAGAAGCAAAGAAATATGACCACAGATTGTTGGGCAAACAGCAGGGTCTAATCTTTTGTCACGAATTCAGGTTCTTTTCAGTGCTAATATACAATTGGAAATATTTTGCTAGTTCCTCTTTATTTGTGTTAATATACAATATGTGTAAGAAATGCAGCCCTGGCAGTTGGTTCTTCCACGAACATGGAGCTATCGTATATAACAAGTTGATGGAATTAATTAAGAAGGAATATAAGAAAAGGGGTTACAAAGAGGTTTTTCTTACTTCTCATTTCACTATTTAAAATATACTTGATGAATATGTGTGTGGAGGAGAGGGGTTGCTGAATTTACTTTGGATAATTGGCAGGTCATGACACCAAATATGTACAACATGAAACTCTGGGCGACATCAGGACATGCTCAAAACTACAAGAAAAACATGTTTACGTTCGATGTAAGAGCGCATGCAAAGCTCAGCAGTCTTCTTGACTTTGTTACTTTATAGCACCAAGCTTCTAAGCTGCCATTTCTTTTTTTTTGTGTGTTCTTCCTTGCGCAGATTGATGAACAAGAATTCGGGCTCAAACCTATGAATTGCCCCGGTCACTGCTTGGTCTTCCAAGACAAAGTTCGCTCATATAAAGGTTGGGGCTCTGTTCCTGTTCCTGCAGTGAAGTTTGATCTCATTCAAAATAATATACATGTATATCCATCATATATCTTTTGCTGACAACATCTTTTTGTTTTGCGGTATGGAATGTAGAATTGCCCATTAGAATGGCTGATTTTGGAGTGTTACATCGAAATGAGGAAAGTGGAGCACTTAGTGGAATGACCCGTGTCCGACGGTTCGTACAGGTATGTTTGCATCTTTCTGGACTTTTCTTGTGGAAAAATATTTAAAACTTAAAATTGATTGCTTTATATAAAGACTAGCGACATTAAAATGATATCATGATGTAGTTAAACAGCTTATTTGCCATGCTGAAGTGAAGAAGTCCCCCCTTTACTTTACTTTACTTAGTTTGTCAATTCGATTTTAACCCTTTTGTGCATACTTGTTTTCAGGATGATGCACACATATTCTGTAGAGTGGATCAGGTTTGTGATATTTGTTTCTATGCAGCAATGTTGGAACTCCTTATCCTCCCAGCTTCTTGTTAGAGCTAGTATATTCTTGTCTATTTGCAGGTTGGAGAAGAAGTGAAGGGTGTGTTGGATTTCATTGACTATGTTTACAAAATATTTGGGTTTACCTATGAGCTAAAGCTTTCAACGGTAGGATATTGCAGATTTCTTTTACCAAATCTGATACAACACTTTGTGCGATAATGATCATGTATCTTATTGTTTGCATGTTATTTTCAATTTCAGAGGCCAGAGAAGAAGTACATTGGAGATTTGGAAACATGGGATAAAGCTGAAAAGGATCTTGAAAAAGCGCTAGATAATTTTGGAAAGCCATGGGTTGTATGTGGACTACTTTCTGATGCTTATACTCAAAAACTTTTTTATTATTCACTGAGAGTATGCATCCATTAATCTTAAGTTTCATGTTCTCTGCAGATAAACAAAGGAGACGGTGCATTTTATGGCCCAAAGATAGACATAACAGTGTCGGATGCAATGAAAAGGAAATTCCAGTGTGCTACTTTACAGGTTAGCTAGGCTCCCAAACTCTTTTTAGTTTTCTCCTTTTATTGCTCCCGATCTCTTGCAATAAGAGTTTGATCCTTGTTTGCTTCATATCAGCTTGATTTTCAACTTCCGGCTTGCTTCAAACTGAAATACATAACTAAAAAAAACGAAAAGGAGAGACCTGTGATGATACATAGAGCGGTGTTGGGATCTATTGAGCGTATGTTTGCCATATTGTTGGAGCATTACAAAGGAATCTGGCCTTTCTGGCTTAGTCCCCGCCAGGCCATAGTTTGCTCTCTTTCAGAGGATTATAGTTCCTATGCAAAACAGGTTCTCTTACATTCTTTCTTTGATATGAACTCACACCTGCAATTCTTGCAGTGTCTAATCTCTAAGCCTTTTTTTTGTTTCCTTGATTTGCACGTATATTCAAACAGGTACAAAAACAGATTCAAGAAGCTGGGTACTATGTTGATATTGATGAAAGTGACAGAAGCATCTGTAAAAAGGTAAATTTTTATGCATTACAGGCTTTTCTAAATGACAAGGTCTAATTGAGAATATTGTACAAGTGAGGGTTAAGGCCATAAATTTTAACCTCGTAAGGCTAGCTATTTAATTTTCATTATAAAGTAAAGTCGTGTTTTCTTGGTAAAGACGAATGTATAGAAATTATCAAGAAAATGTATAGTTATTTGCGTTCACGACTCACGAGTGTGATGTTTATGTTGTGTGTGTAGGTGGCAGATGCTCGGGCTGCACCATACAACTACATACTGGTCGTAGGTCAAAAAGAGGCTACAACGGGACAGGTTAGAGGGCACATGCACTTTTGTCTCATGATTCCTATGTCTCTTTGACCATCGACTTTCTCAAACATTGATTGATCAATTTGTTTTGTTGGGACTGAAAACATTTTCAGGTGACAGTTCGGCTCAGAGAGGACCCTGCAGGCCGTAAAGACTTGCCAGAGATGAGCATCGACAGTTTGCTGGATGAATTCAAGTTCAAGACAAGTGGGCGTGTTCTTTTGGACGTCGCAGCGACACAAAATTACACTGATGTTGTTGCTTTCTTTCTCTTTCCTAGTCGTTGGTTTCTTTCTCTTTCCCTGTCACTGCAATTTTTGTTCGTGATATTTGCAGTCGCCGGTGTCGCTTGTTTTTTCAGCGACTGAGTAAACCAACACCGGCGTCACTTTTTCTTGCTTTTCACGAGATGTTCAGTCGCTGGGTGTAAATAAAATTAAAAAACAAGGCATTTTTTTGTTGGTCTCCGCAAGAATCGCGCGATAACGAAAAGAACTGGGCCACTGTCAACTTTCTCTGAGATCCGATCTGTTTATGGGTTAAAAATTCATTTTCCTGTTGATGATGAATGTATTTCTTTTATAATATAAGTCTTTTTCGTTGTACCAAGACATATTTTGGAATAAAAGGTACTGTTGAAATATAATTAACCAATTAACAAAATAAAATATAGACTTTTGGGGCAGTATTTAATTTGTTTGGATAATTAAGACGCAATGTTTTCGTTGAATCCAAGCTTAATTAAAAGCCAACGAAAGATGTTGTCCTATAATTGATTTTGAACCCCCATCAATAGATTTTCCGCTGGAAATTCTAGATGAGTCTTTTTTTCACAAACTTACTTGAATGAAAGATGATATAAGTAAAACTCAAATATTTTGAACAATTAATCAACGAGTCACCACTGAAAAAGATCCAACGATTCGCTTCATGATTTTTGATAGGAAGTGATTCTGTGTGAGATAATATACACATATCCAATCAGAAATTTATACATTCTTGTTCTAGTGGGTGTCTTAATCTTATCCAAAATTTGATTAATTCAACATCTATATACATTGATCAACGTTTCGTTTCATTATCTTCCATAATAAAATATATATGTATATAATACAGTTACTTATCTTTTTGGGTTGTTCTTTCGTATTGTCTTAAACAATAATCAAGGTGACATACATATCTAACTCAACGAGGAAAGCCTAGCAATCGTAATGACATCAGTTTTAGAAAAACAAACTGAAAAGAAAAAGAAAACTCGATGATTAAATTAAAATGAATTTATTTATTTCGAAAGGAGAATTGTATGGTTATAAGTCGTGTCAAGATGTGTGTTCTTCATCTCCACCTAAATAAAACGAACTATTTTATTCGTGTTTTCTTAAGCTAGACAAAGGTAGATTTGCTACTTTGGATTGTATTTCTTGGTGGCTGATAACTACTCCCAACTTAATCATATCTATACTCCAACCTCGATTTCGTCTTTCCGTTATTAACTTATTATTATTCTTCACAATTAATTAAAGAAACTAAATTTTATTTTAAAAGTTAAAAGACTCTCATAAAAGTTAAAACCATTAGTTAAAAAAGTTTCTTTTTTGACATAGGTTCATCATCGCATATTATACGAGTCAAAATAGTCTGCATGAAATTATAACTGTATTAAGGATGTTCATTTGTTGATGCATTAGGCACCAGTACATATTTTCTTCAGTTAATAATTAAACCTCTTAATATTTGATCTTACTTAAGACCGCAACAACACAAAAATTATATCCAACGATTGCAAATTTCACAATGTATAAATTTTTGGTCTTAAATCCCTCTATTACGATAATTTTTAGGTTGATCAGGACAGATTATTGTCTGATCAGTACATACACATCTTGCAATTTAGGCAATACCAAAGTTCAGAGCCAAAATGAGTACAAAGTGAAACTAGGCCAGTTTGGAATAAATTATTGGTTTTACTTCAGAATTTCAGTTTAAGTTTGGTTTCACAACAAACCTTTAAACTTGAATGTGTTTTAAAATTAATTAAGCTTCTGCTCAAACTTTTAATCGATTGGTCTGATTGAATTTTTTTTTTTTTTTTTTTTTTTTTTTTGCCGAATAGTTATTTTTAAGTCTGATTAAACACCCTTAAAATAAATATAGGAAATTAGACCTGATAAAAGTAGTACAACCTTAGATTTGTTATACAAGAAATGTTTGGGCTGCCTTAACTAATTTTCACATTTGGCTCAAACAAGAGCTCTAATTGATTAGTAATTTCTACATATGGTCCACCTTATACATGTGGTACGGACTAATTAACATAAACCCTGAGAGGCAGAGTTTCCAACAGACAAAAAGTCGAAAAAGGGAACACAATTCTCGTTACGGTTGTTTTGAGCGACATCTTCTTCTTCTTCATCTTTTCTTGAATTGTCTATCACTACGGGTTTCTTCGAATCCGTGTTTAATTGGAGAAAATTGTAGAACTCCATCGGTCGTTTAGTTTGGTCTATTGCTCCTGACCAAATAATCCATGTCCAAAAGCTAGTTTTAGAAGTTATACAATTATTTAATCGTACCCACAAGCAAGTGTACATCCATATACATGCATGTAACTATGAAAATCATGATCGTTTCAAACTATTTTTACAATTTTTAGGATCAAAAATTAATTAGTGTTTACAGAAAACCATGAACTAACCCATATACAATGTCAAAATTTAATTTCAATTTTTTTTCAATCTAATTTGTATACGAATTAATGCACCATTACTTGCACATTTAATAAGACGAATGTACATGTTATCTAATGGTTATGAGTTTGTAATTTATATATGCATATATGTATTCACTCAAAATAAAGTATACTTATGCTACGCTTGTTTATGTTTGTGCAGCTATATTAGCTACATAAACACACAAATTCAAGCCATATTTTATCTTATTACCTTCTTGTATTGGAGTAGTACTATTCCGGAACCCGATCTTTCCGGTCAAGAATTCTTTGAGGACTTGAAAATGACTAATATGAGAGAATTGATAAGGAAAATTGATAGCGGTTGTGGTTGCCAATCTTCTCTCCTTATCGCAGTCGTTATAATTACCCATCATCCCAGTCGCAGATACCGTGCCATCATGGCCATGGCCACGTGGTCGGAGCTTGGACCGTTCTCGGCCACGACGAGCCATGATGACGTGCCAATGGTTTTTAACAGCGTTATCGGTTCGACCTGGGAAAAATCTAGCGATCACAGACCATCTATTCCCATGGATCCGATGAGACGCTAAAAGCCTTTCTTCTTCTTCCTCCGTGAAAGGGTTTCGGTTAATCCTAGGATCCAATTGATTAAACCATCTCAATCTACAACTCTTGCCTGAAACCAAAAAATCCAAACCAAAGCAACGTATATAGTTATTTATATATTCAACCGTACCCTAGTTTAGGCTTATTAAGAAATTTATAGAAATGACTTTTTAAAGTCAGTTTTTACCAGATCGACCAGAGAGCTTCTGAGCTATGGCGTTCCAATTATGAGGACCAAATTGTTCGACGAGTTCTCTTAGCTTCTCATCTTCTGCAGGTCTCCAATGGCCTCGACTGCACATCATTCTTCTAATTCCTCTCCTTCTGATCTCTATACTATGATCTTCTATAAATCACAACCTATATATAAATTTATATATGTTGTTGCTATAGTTAAGAAACCCTAGGTTTGATGTAGGTGAGGGAAGATGGGTATGTAGGAACAAGAAGAAAGCTGAAGAGCAACAGCACCATACATACATATATATTTATATATTTAGATATTATATAAAGAATTGAAAGTAATGAATATTATAAGATTCGTTAGAGAGTGATAGAAAGTTTGGAGGGAGGTTTTCACCGGCGATTGATGCCAACGTCTTCCCTAACCAAACACACTCTTAAGTAATCTACCTTCTTCTTTTTTTCCCCATCTATTTCTTATTATTATTTTTTTACATTTATGTGGGAATCTTATTAATTATCATGAATAATGAAAAGAGAAAAAGGAGATTATACACAGGAGGGAAGAGATTGCTTGGTGGGGTGTTTTCGTTAAACTTTCAAGTTTCAACGTCTACTCTTAAATATTTTTTTTTCCAACCTAAACCCTCTACTTCAGCCACCAATACTTCATCTACGTTCGTATAATCTTATGCAAGCTACATATACCCATGTATATTATTATATGTATGCAATTTTATAGTCAGCTATTCAGCTTTTTATATAAGGAAAACCTTCTAGAATATGACTCAAGATGGGAGAGATTACAATATATGGCTCCAAGAATTAATGTACGTACATTAGATTGCAAAAACTTTGGTTGCATTTATATGAAATTGTATTCATATTTATTATGATGTTGGTGAAAATGTAAACACAGCTATATATTATTATTTTGATTTTACTTTGAAAAAAAAAAAAAACACAATTTGTTTTTTTTCTTAATAAAGGAAACTTAGATTTGTTAGTGTTTAACTATATAAAACAACAATGTTACAAACAATCAAAATCTTAAAAGTCTATGTATATTGCATGTGGATAACATTATCAAATTTTATGAAATTTTACATTATGGCAAACTAAATCAACAATAAAAATAACTAAGGAGAACTATACGTCCACAATAGGGGAGAATGTAACATTTATTATTCCAGGATTTGTGGATCGAACTTGTTGACTAAAAATTTCAACCGTATTGTTTTTTGGTATAACTAATGGACTATCATTACAAGCTATTAAATGGTTTTATAACTTCGAAAATATCAATACTACATTGTTAAAAAACAAAAACTAAGGAGAGAGTTTGGTAAAGATGTTGTGGACCTGTAATTTAATTGCAGGTCACGTATAAGTAGAATTAAATAATTAAATATCGTTGGATATGTTTTGTTAAACCTTTCAGACCTAACCAAATGTTTCTTTTCCTTAAATCGGACCAACTTGGAAACCCTAAAACGACTCTGTGTCTTAATTATTTAATTGGTTAACTGATTGATATATCAGTGGCTTTGTACTTTATAAAAATGAATTTGACATCTTATTTGCACAAACATTTGGTCTCCAAGCACATCACCAACTTTCCCTCTTGTCTTGTCTACGACGGTTGGCTTTTTGTACTCTCAGTCCTCTTAACAAATTTAAATTAACAAAAATAATTTGGCATTAGTTACCGGCTTCTATTTTTAACATACGTTCAGATATAATAACATAGCCTAAATACTTAAGAACATTAAAAATATATATAAAAGATTGAAAAAAATGACAGGAATAAAGTTGAAAACCTGAAAAGTGATATGTTGTACTTCAAATTTTCCTTGGGATTGCTTGCAAAACAGTTTATAGAATCTTTTTAAGGATTGATTGGAGATATAGCTTATATTCCAATCAACTAATCAATTCAATACTAGGTAAGCTATAACCAAACTGTTTTAGAACTCACTTGCACGTGTGTAGGAACAAAGCCAAACTTAATTACCGGTGAAGTTTAGTAGGAAAATAGGCAGAGTTAGTTGGGAAGGAAGTCAAATACAATATTTCACGACTAAAAAGGAATTATTCAAATACTCCACATAAGCAAACTGGATCCTGATTACATTAAACCGGTCTAGGTCTATCAAATTGGTTAATCAAATAGCAAAAGGCAAAGCAATGATGGCTATTAATCAGGGAGACAATGAGCTTGCTGGTTTCACGAGTGGGTAATATCTATCTAATATGTAGTAGCATCACCAGTGCCGTCCCTAGGCTTTGAGAGGCTTAAGGCAACTTGTAAATTATGTGGCCTTTTTAAAAAATGTACTTATCACTCAAATTTTTGTTTTTAACAAATATGACTTAAAGCACTATAAAATCATTATAGTTAATGTATTTTACAATTTAATTTATAACTCCATAACATGTAACAAAAAAGAAAAAACAATTCTTTTATGCATATTAGTATGTGTATGTAAGGATTAATAATAGATATACATGTATTTTTTAAGAAATGATTTCAAAGTATGATATTGTGGAAGATTTCATCATATAATCTAATTACACTCATTAAAAAGTATATAGAAATGTGGCCTTTAAAATGTTAATATTTCATGTGGCCTAAGGCAAATGTCTTTTTAATTACACTAGAAGCACGGCTCTCAGCATCACTGCACTCACATCAAATGACCAATCTGGGATCATTTCTACAATCAGATCCATCGACTACTAACTAAGTGTGTCCAAGTCCAACCTCTGTTCTTGATCAACAACGCATTAGAAATAGTGGTCTTATTCTTGCTCTTGATGAAAGAAAGTATTTCAATAAAATTCTTAAACTACTTTGGTGGTAGACAGTATATCAATCATCTCAATATATGCAGAACACAAAGCTCATTACCTTAGTAAAATTTTAAGAACTTAAAACAATATTTCATCAATACCATCAAAACACATTACAATGTCCCTTAATGATGAGAACCCTTTCTCCTAAGACTGAACAGTAACTCGGACTATTTGGGGGAAACGGCCAAATCCCCTCCCCCGAACTTAGTTGCTTTATCGTATTCAGACACAGAATTTTGGTTCGTGACATAAACTCAACTAAAATTTGAATTTCCTACATGAACTATCGAAATCCGGCCAAAACCATCAAATTGACTAACGGTGTTAGTGTTCCGTTAATAAATGCTGACTAGGATGCCACATTTGCAGTCTGAAATGCCACATGGACTACGAAACGACGTCGTTTTATTTAATTTAGAAAGAAATAAAAAACTGAGACAAACATTACAAACAAATACGGAATCGAACCCATGACCTTGACTACCCATAATCAAACCAACAACCAACTGAGCCACTGAAACTTTTGTAAACTTTGCATTCAGAATTATATAAATATATATAACACAATAATTAAAAATGCCAATCGAATACGGAATACGGAGACAAACATTACAAATACGGAATCAAACCCATGACCTTCGCTACCCATAATCAAACCAACAACAAACTGAGCCACTGAAACTTTTGTAAACTTTGCATTCAGAATTATATAAATATATATAACGCAATAAATTAAAAATGGCAAAATCTTGGACTGAGTCAACGCAGCCTTTGAGTGAATCAAGGTAAATGAGTTTCTCGTGGATTGAGGATTCTGGGTTTTCGTTGGTTATTGTAGGGGTATTGGAGAAATTGGGAAAATCTGGGGATTTAAAGAGTGATGAAGATGAAGATGAAGTGTGGGAAAATTGTGGTGAAGGGAAGGGAAAGAGGAAGAGGGGAAAGAGAGGGCTTCTTGTTGCATTGGTCAATAGACATCTCACATTACATGAAACTCTCTCTATGAAGCTAAGTGATGATGAAAGGATATGAGTAGAACAGAGTGTGATTCGAAGTTGGTCATGGAGGAGAAGAATGGTCATGGCTCATTACGTTATATACGTATCTATATGTATTTCTGAATGAATGTTAACAAGAGCTTCCATGGCTCATTGGTTCTGAGACTTATTTCTGGTACCATTGGTCATGGGTTCAATTCCTTGCTTAGCCATTTTTTCAATAATTAATTTTTTTTTTAGTGAAACGACGTCGTTTCGTAGTCCATGTGGCATCTCAGACTGCAAATGTGGTATCCTAGTCAGCATTTATTAACGGAACAGTAACACCGCTAGTCAATTTGATGGTTTTGGCCGGATTTCGATTGTTCATGTAGGAAATTTAAATCTTAGTTGAGTTCATGTAGTTATAGGCACGAACCAAAGTTCTGTGTATGAATACGATAAAACAACTAAGTTCGGGGGGATTTGGCCGTTTTCCCGACTATTTGGTGGTGGAATTGACGATGAATCTAGAAAGATGCTAGTCTTGCTAGAGCCAACAAAACAGATCAACTATCTCATCAAAAAAAAATCAGATATCACTCAAACCAAAGTTCTAACAAATTTCCTTAAATTTTGGAACCCCTATAAGAAAAATCCACAAGTACTAACTTTTTAACCGGACACGAATATGCTTGGGAAACGAAACGACGGCATATAGCATCTTTAATTTTTTATGAAACGACATCGTGTCATGGAAACGTCATCTTGTAAACTGTAAAATTCATAGCTTTCACCTAAACGACGTCATATACTGTTTTTTTGAGCTTTTCATCCAAACGACGTTCGATTTTTTTTTTTTTTTTGATTTTATGTTTCGATAAAAACTTTTTGTTTGTTCACCTTTCATCTCTGACAAATAAAAAAACCAGCATCGCATAAGAGCACTTCCATCGGTGAGATGAAAGAGAGTTTCTCACCAAAATTTATTAATTAAAAAAGCAATAAATGAAGAGAGAGAAAGAGACACAATTTTTCATTTGAAACATTTTGAGAAATTTTTCTGGACACATGTCATAATTTTACTGGATTTAGTTATTAAAAATAAATAAAAAAAGAAATAATTTAATTAAATAATTTTTTTTTTAGACACTCCCATCATATTTACCATGGATATGCTCTAAATGTTTAATAAAGTATATATAAAAGCATTCCAAATTACAAAATGATTACGTATGTAATAATTCCACATAATTATAAAACTAGTGTAGTTCTCTATTGATGTTTGTTGGTTATATAATAAATCACAGAAAAAAAAAGAAGACTGTTCTATAAAAGGAAAGAGTCCAAAACGAAGACGAAAAAGAGAGAGAAATCAGAAGATATCTTCAACATAACGGAATGATTGAGGACACGTGTCGTCACCAACCACCTTGCCAGCCTTATTAAAGCATTCCCGACCATTGGACGGTGACCGTGAAAGACAGCCGCGACGTTTCTAACCGCGAACGACTCACGAACCTTTTGACACCTGTCCAAAAGTCCCCACATTTAATTGTTTAGTACTTTTGTAGTATGTGTGAGCCCGCCCAAAATAGTAACCGTCACGTGACCAACGAGGCTGCCACGTGGATGGCGTTTTCCTTGTATAGCTTTGAGCAGCCAGCCATGGGGCCTAATTATGGGAACATAGACAAACAAGTGTGAACGGACGTGGAGTCCTTAACGTAATTAGGCCGGTGAGGATTTTGTCCGTCATTAATTATTATTCTATTTGGAACACCAACAAAAATCTATAAGATTTTTCTGTGACGATTGTCTTTTAGTTTGCTAGGTCTTGCAATAAGCATCACATTATTATATTCTAATCGGGAAAAATGTCATTTAATAGCCCAACTTTCAAATTGTGGCCATTTGGCACACCAACTTCACATATGGCCATCTTATACATGATAAAATCGTTGACTTCCATTTAGCACATGACAAAATCGTTGACCAAGCCAAAACAACACGCCGTTAACAGATCCGCTAACACCCGTTAAAACCTCCGTTACTGCCCAAAACGACGTCGTTTTGGTCTTATTCGAAACTTCAAAAAGCTCAAAAATCCCCAAATCACAAAAATCAAATCCCTAATTTTTCATCAAATCCCTAATAATGGCGGAGAGATCATATTCAGAGGAAGTGAAGCTTTTGGGAATGTGGGCGAGTCCTTTTAGTCGTAGGATTGAGATTGCTCCTACACTTAAAGGTGTTTCTTACGAATTCTCAGAGGAAGATATCACTAACAAGAGCTCTTTGTTGCTTCAGTTGAATCCGGTTTATAAGATGATTCCGGTTCTTGTTCATAATGGTAAACCGATTTCTGAACCACTTGTGATTCTTGAGTATATTGATGAGACTTGGAGAGACAATCCGATTCTTCCTCAAGATCCTTATGAGAGAGCTATGGCTCGATTCTGGGCTAAATTTGTTGATGAACATGTATGATTTTCAATTTCAGTAAACCGGTTTTAGATTTTTAAACCGGGTTTTGATTCTTAAACCGGTTATTGGGGAGTTTCAGATTTATGTGACGGCTATGAAAGTGGTGGGGAAGATCAGAGAAGAGAGAGATGCGGTGGTTGAAGCGACGAGAGATTTGTTGATGTTTTTAGAGAAAGAAATCGTTGGGAAAGATTTTTTTGGAGGGAGAAGTTTGGGGTTTGTGGATATTGTGGCGACGTTGGTGGCGTTTTGGTTGATGAGGACGGAGGAGATCGTCGGAGTTAAGGTTGTTCCGGTGGAGAAGTTTCAGGAGATACATAGATGGAGGTTTGAGCTTTTTGAAGTTTCGATTAAGACCAAAACGACATCGTTTTGGGCAGTAACGGAGGTTTTAACGGGTGTTAACGGGTGTTAGCGGATCTGTTAACGGTGTGTTGTTTTGGCTTGGTCAACGATTTTGTCATGTGCTAAACGGAAGTCAACGATTTTATCATGTACAAAATGGCCATATGTGAAGTTGGTGTGCCAAATGGCCACAATTTAAAAGTTAGGCTATTAAATGACATTTTTCCCTATTCTAATCCGGTATTTCACAATATGTATCAAGTTTATATGTTAGATTGCAAGTTTAAATGAACGATTGCTGAAAAAAGCAGCAATGAATGCTAAGAAAATGCTGGTTGATGTATTATATTCATTCTATAATTAAATATCCAAATCTACCGCAATATTAAATATTTTTAAAAAGATTCTTCTTCTGTTAAACATTTTTTATGATCGATCATGAGACATTAAGCTGTATTATTATTTTTCGATAGAATTAGTGTAAGCTTAAAATATCTGAATAGTAATATTAAAATGCAATTATTCGAACTATGCCAAGAGAATCGTATTTGAGAAATATTGTAATGTAAAAAACGGATTAAAACGGAGTATCATTTTACGAGATCTTGTTAGAAAGAGGCCGATCGACAGCTAATGGTGCCAATAAGTTCAAAATTTTAAATCATTAAAACACTAGTCATACCCACTAGGCACTATTTTTCATAGAGGATAAGGTCATAAGGTCATTTTACATTCTATTTTATATGTAAACTGTATTTATATTAATCATAAGTAATTGCTTTAAGATACGGTCTAATTTGAGCTTAATGACAGTCTAAACATAGTCATTATCATATTAAACACCTAGGAAAATCAGCTACCAAGGAAACGAATTACTATGTTGCATTATGATGGTCTAATGATTGTAAAAATTTCATGTTAGTTACCATAACTTTAATAATAACAAAAAAAATAAAAAAGATACAAAATCGGGTTTTAGGCTTTTAGCTAAATTAATAATCATTGATTTTTTTTTTGGGTAGTTAGCTGTGCTGATTAGTGAAGTTGGGTAGTAAGCCAAAGCATTATTTTCTCCTCGCGTTGAAATTGATTCCTTGTATTTTTTTAACTCTCTTCTTCTTCTTCTTCATAATTGTTCTCTGTATCAATCATTTTAAAGAACCATTATCTCTATATCTCTCCTTCCAATTTAGCTATATAAAGGAGCTATTTTAAAATATCTTAGGTAAAGAATCTACTTGTTGTATATCTTTTTATTTTCAGATTCAGAATTCGTTTTCGTTTTTTATCCGCTTCAATTTTTGAGCGATTCAATGCTGAATAAGAGGTTTAAGCTATCTAGTAGGTGGTTTAATCCGAATTCCAAAATCAGAAATCCTGGCTCGTCCAGATTTGGTAGTCTACTGTTTTCTTCATTCCTCTCTGGGGAAAATGTTGCTTAAGGTTTTTCCCTTTTTTCATGGATTTTGAATTATTATTATTTTGGTTTGAGCTCGATAAAGCATCACTTTCCATTACTCTTGAGCATAATTATTGGTGAGCCTTTACTCAAAATCTTCCCTTTTTAAGTCAAGTTGCTTTGCAGCCTTTGAAATTCCTCGTTTTTTTTATGGGTTTGTTTTTCCTATTTTCGGTATAACGTTTCATAGTGGAGAAAATGTTATACTAACTTCAAAGTTTCATGCTTTCTCCGTGAACTCACATGCCTTTCTTTTTTGGGCTGATCAAGTTAGTATCTTTTTCTTTACTTTTCTTGCAGAACTCGATTGGTTTTGATAGCTTATAGCCAATCAAGGTGAGAAAATCAACAACCTCTTACTTGTTTATCAAACGTTGTTATTTGCTTGTTTGTTTCTGCTTGGAACTTGGTCTTAAAGTAAGATTATTGTTAAGATTCTTGTGTAGATTAGTCACGTTGAACTGTGAAGATGGTATAGTAATGGCAGATAACTCGTGAGCTGGGTTTTACTTTATCCCTATGAATCTAGTGGAGGAGCAAGGACTTGAGCTGTTTTTTCGGTTGGACATTAATTTTTTATCAACTCTCCTTATTGCATTTTGTAGATGTGGAATCATTCTCCTCTTTTCTTCTAGCTTGATCATTTTATAGTCAGAGATTGTTTCTCACAGGATTCTATGTGAAACCTTTTATCAAAGTTTGGCACTTATAGTGTAGATTTGTTGTCTTTTGGGTTTATAGATTTCTTAAGCTCTGTTGAAAATGGGATGCTTTGCATCAACACCGAAAGACTCTGGTGGGAATAGAAGAAAGCCAACAAGCATCGGTGAGGTTTCAGTGTATGTACCTGGTTTAAGGATACCTAGAGCGGTGGATTTTTTGCAATCACTTGGTGATCAGTTACCCAAGACTCTAGTGGAACGCCTGACAGCTTTAAGGACGCGTATAGTAGTGATGGCTAATCAAGAAGGACCTACAATTACGAGAACGAGGAGAAAGACACAACATGGTATATATATGTCTGTCAAGATCTTTGTGTGTTTTCTATCTCCGTCTGCTTTATATGGTTTGGAACTCTTAATGACTATTGTTCTCTGGCAGGAGGTTCAACGCTCTTGGATCTCCATCAAGCTTTGCTAGATTATCTACCTGTTGTCTTGGGATTAACTAAAGATGGTATATACTATTATGTGTTTCTTAGAAAAAGATCTATTCGGTTTCAGAGATTTATTCTGACCCTACAGTATTTGTGATGTTTTTCAGGTAGTCATCTACAGTTTAAAGTACAATTTAATTGGGTAAATCAGGAGGACGAGGAAGAGGTGTGATAATTTATCAAAGCAGTTTGTCTTCAGGTGTCATCATAATGTACAGACTCTTACATGTTTACTTCTAACCAGGAAACAGAGATGTCAAACGTTTGGTATGAAGTTTTATCTGTTTTGCATCTAATGGCAATGCTACAAATGTCTCAAGCCAATTTACTGCTTCTTCCTAGAGGTTCTAGTGATGGTCACAACCATCCGAAAGTATCCGAAGGTTAGGCTTCTCTGAGAAACTTTCTCATCTATCTTTTCAAACATTCTGTTATGAGAATTCTCATACAGTCTCTAGACCTTTTTTTATTCGATGATTTTTTTTCTTAAAAATGGGTAAGGTCTCTCGGACTTAACAGTCTGTTTGTTTTTGTTCATTATAGAAAACAGACGAACTTCGATTGATATCTTCTTAAAAGCAGCTGGATATCTTGACTGTGCCGTTAAGCATGTTCTCCCTCAGTTTTCTGCTGAGCAAAGGTTTATAGATGACAAAGTTTCTAAAGTCATTCACTCTATTTGTTGACTATTATCAATTGAGCCTAATGGCACAATCCTTGTCTTTGTTTTCATTTTTCTGCAGGAGAAGTTTACCGGTTGACTTAGCGGAAGGGGTTCTACGGGCTCTTTGCTTGCAAGCACTTGGCCAGGTAGTACCTCTCTTTTGATGGATATGGTTAAGCTATGCCATGGCATCTAACTGTACCTCATGTAGTTTCTTTCTCTCATTTAGTATCTAACATCTTTCAAGTTGCTGAAATTTAGGGTGTTGATATCCAACTTGGCATGGCGATTGATAGCTCAAAGGCCACTCTTGCAGTAAAACGAAGACTTTCATGTGAAATGGTGAAATATTGGCAGCAGGTAACTCTTATCCAACTTGTTTCTCATTGAGACTTCGTCTATATATTAACTGCCCCATACTTCTCTTGGAAACATCTGAAATTATTTGTTAATGCTTCCTATTCCTTGTCGGTGTGCGTTGAAACAGGCACAAGATAATTTAATGAATCTTCCATTAGCAAATGGTTGGGGAGAAAAGCATGGACTCTTTGTTAAGTGGAAGTATGTTGAAGCTAAGGTACTGTTTGATTCTTTCTCTCTTACTCTCTTACCCCTTTCATATCTAAATTTTTCTGTTCCTTTTCAGTTATTGTCTTGAGCTATGGCCCTTTCTTGTAAAATCTGCCTCTATAAGACAAATTTTTCGTTTTTGATTATATGATCCCTATCATTATGCTTTGAGAACCATGGGGGCTTTAAAGAGAGTCTATCTCTCAATGTGGGCGATTAAGGTCCATTTGTCTAATGTCTTGTTTCATCTTCTGGAATCTTTTGGATCAGGCTGCGGCTTACTACTATCATGGTTTGATTCTTGATGAAGGAAACACAGAGAAGTCACATGGCATGGCAGTTGCTGCTTTACAAGCTGCAGATGAATGTTTTAAAGAGAGTAAGAAAGCATCTGAAGCATTTAACGCCTCTTCACCTACTTCAAGGTAATTTCTTTCTCTTTTAATCGGTTTTATTTTGAGCTCATTTGGTCACAAAGTAGCAGTTGTTTTGAAGATCTATTTTAATTTTTCCTGCAGGACACCGCCGCTATTTGGAACAATGAAGTATCTAACTGAGAAAATCCCGAAAGATACTTCGAGTAAAGTCAGGATAAACCGTGATCTATACTCTTATGAAAAGTGAGTTTAATCTCTCTTTCTTTCTTTTGCAATATCATTATAAAGCACAGTTTTTTAATATTAATCTGTTAATGCTTTCTGATTAACAGAATCATGGAGACAGCACCAACACTTCCTGATTTCGCTTTGGCATTGAAACCAGATGAGTATCAACTTCCTCTCGTCGAAGCTTAGTAGTCTGAAGATGCTCAAAGCGCTTCAAACAAGTGTATGAGCAATCGAAGATAGAGATGTGTAAACCTTGTAGAGCCAAAAATTCAGTGGTTTCCAATGGCTGCCTGCAAATTATGGTATGGCTATAGAATTTGCCCGACAGGAGTCTATGATCTGATCAATATTGTGTGAGAAAAAAAACTTATCAAATTGGGTTTGGATCAGTTTACATGAGAGAGATCTTTGTATGTTAATGTAATGATATATTTCTTCAATAAAGCATTATTTTTTTTCATTTCCAATATTGATAAGACTTCAACAGTATATCTAAAGTATATGCAAAAGCAAAAATGGTAGGGCTCTGAGACACCGAGAGTATATATATATATGTTCTTGGTGAATGAGGTTGCTGAAGATAGGTAAGAGAAGGTTTAGTTTGGAGCTTGAAGAATCAGAGAAAGTTGTACAAAAGTTTTAGAATAAAAGCAGAATCTAGAGAAGATGTTGAAGATTTCTTTCAGACAACAACAGGATCGTAAGATTCAGCACCGGTTCTTGTCTCTGCTTTTAGACACAGCTTCGTTTCAAAGAAGTTATATGAAGTCAAACTCTTTCACGCAAGGAAAAGTCAAATAAGAGGCTGTAAATTTTGTAATTCTTACCAAATAAATTACCAGTTATTTAAAATGTCATTTTATAGAAATTGTAATGCGAAATTCCATAAAAAAGTATTTAACGATTATTAATAATTTAATGTATAAAAAATGTGAAAATAAAATGACGAATTTTAGTAAAAAGAGTTTAATTTTTACCCAAACCAGATTCTTCACTCTCTCTGCGCAGCGATCTCAACATTGGTCTCAAATTTCTTCTTGGAAGCAACCTTGTTCGATCTTCCTCGTCTGGTTTCGTCCTAAATCGTAAGCTTTCGTTTTGTTGATTACATATGTTCTTCTTACCACTGGTAGTTCTGGTCTGTGCCAATTTCAAAGTTAAGAGATTGATGAACCCTAAATTGTTTCTCTTTCTATCGTAATGCACCGCTCGTTGAAATTTTACCTAGATTAATCGCGACGTACTCGTAAAGTCTTCGGTTCAGGAACCATATAGTTATTGTGATGTTCATATAAACGGAACAATCATTGTGTCGAATTGATCGCGTTTTTACACATAAACCCTAATTTCGAGTGCCATTATCAGATAAACCACGTATTGATGACCATGCCCGTCCTTTACGAGCAAGATAAGCACGTCTCCTCTGCTATTCTGACCGGACAGGTAAGTAGTAATCATAGTTTCTATCAATCTCTCAATCTGGTTTATATCTGTCTTAAATCGAACAACTTTGGATAATGTTTGTTTGTTTTTGCAGGAGAGAGGTGTGCTTAGATGTCAGGAACGAACGTCATTGCTTCATCACTGGAAGCTTACAAAGGAGCAGATAGAATTGGTTGAGAAAGCAGGTTTTGGTTGGTTTAGGCTAATAGGATCAATTAGTTTGAACAATTCGCTTATCTCTGCGCTTGTCGAGAGATGGCGTAGAGAAACTAACACGTTTCACTTCCCTTGCGGCGAAATGACAATCACTCTCGATGAGGTATCGTTGATTCTCGGTCTTGCTGTCGATGGGAAGCCTGTGGTTGGTGTTAAGGAAAAAGATGAAGACCCTTCTCAAGTATGTCTGAGACTTTTGGGGAAACTTCCGAAAGGTGAATTGAGCGGTAATCGAGTGACTGCGAAATGGTTGAAGGAGAGTTTTGCAGAGTGTCCAAAGGGAGCTACAATGAAAGAGATTGAGTATCACACTCGTGCGTATCTTATATACATTGTTGGGAGCACGATATTTGCAACTACAGATCCCAGTAAGATCTCTGTTGATTACCTTATCCTCTTTGAGGATTTTGAGAAAGCTGGAGAATATGCTTGGGGTGCTGCCGCACTAGCTTTCTTGTATAGACAAATTGGTAATGCCTCTCAACGGTCTCAGAGTATCATTGGTGGTTGCTTGACACTCTTACAGGTTTGTTTTCATTTATTTTAAGCCCTGTGTATCTTTAAGAGCATCATCTTCTGTGTTGTTTCTTTTTCCCCAAAAAGTTCTTAACCAGTTGTGTTACCATCTTCAGTGCTGGAGTTACTTCCACCTCAATATTGACAGGCCAAAGAGAACCACTCGCCAATTTCCACTAGCTCTTTTGTGGAAAGGAAGGCAACAGAGTCGATCAAAGAATGATTTGTTCAAGTATCGCAAAGCACTTGACGATCTAGATCCATCGAATGTAAGAATTAAATCATTGTTATCTTATACATTTTTTTGTTTTGAATCTCTTTGAATTTTTGTTACCCCTGAATTCTCTTTTAGGTTAGTTGGTGCCCCTTTGAAGGAGACCTCAACATTGTGCCACAAAGTTTTAAAGATAATCTACTACTTGGAAGGTCCAGAACAAAACTGATTGGTCCAAAAGTAGTAGAATGGCACTTCCCAGATCGATGCATGAAGCAGTTTGGGCTGTGCCAAGTTATCCCCGGAGAAGTTCCTCCCAGGAAAAACGAGAAAAACCATGATGAAGACTTACTGGAAGACATGAACACAGCAGATGAGGAATGGATGAGACGAAGGGAAAACATCGTGGAGAATGAAGGAGGTAACGGTGATGAAAGTGAATATATGCAGTGGTTCAATAGCATCACAGTCCCAAAGCTTCACAGAGATACAAGTCTCGAAGCTGATATAATGAACGTGGTAAATGGATCTTCTTCTTGGTTATTTAATTATGCGTAAGCACCTCGGAATTACTTCTTATTGCCATTGTTGTTTCTTTTCTAGCAAGCTGCTATACTGCAATTTGACGAGGTGGCGTCAACGTTATCATTAGAGGATCTACATCCAGAGGAGAGAGAAGCAATTGAAGAAGCAGTGATGTCTATGTCCAATGCCTTGAGAGTAGGAGATTGGTATGAGGCATCAACAACTAATAAACGAAAACGGAGAGAGGAACAACAAACGGATTGGAGCGAATGAAAAAAGGAAGAAGATCCTTGTATTTTGTGGCCCATCAGTTAGCTTCAGGCATTTACTTAGAGAAAGAAAATGTAAGTCCCATCATCACTTGAGTTAATGCTTTAACATTCATATACTCTGCTAATTGTTTAGAAGTAGAGATCTTGGTTTGGTATCTTAAAGAGTACTAAAGTGGGTAAATAAATTGAAGAGAGGGTTTTAAGTTTTTAACTACAGATTTACATGGCAGCTGCAAATTTTTGAGAAATCAATGTGCAGTTAATTTCGTTCCAGCTCATCAAGAGCATTAGATGAGAAGATACGGATACTGTCAAACGTTAATATCATGTCTGAATTTTTTTAATAAGTTGGTGTTCTAATCAGAGTGTATTTAAAATACACTGATTAATTGGAGAAAGTAACAACACATAATGTGTGTTTGATGTTCCTAAAGAACGAGATGTGATAAATATGGTATTTTCATAGTATCATAACCACCATTTACATTAAAAAGGATAGGTATAATATCACAGCAAACAAAATGTTTTTTTTCTCTCTTATCATCTATCTACTACCTTATGTTCAACAAGTTGTATAATTTCCCTAGAATGATTACCACAACTGTATGACTTTGCCTAAAACTATGCAAGTTCATTTGATTGCATTAAAGAACATTCCAATTTTTTTGCTCACAAGGGAAAAACAAAAGTTGAGAGAGTTAAAAAAAAAAAAAAGTACAGGAAGAAAAAGAAGAAGAGAAGCTGCTGAAGTCAGCTAAACCCCGAAAGAAAAGTTGATTTTTGTCATTACATGACGTTGAGAAAATCACTCGGAGCAAGTAAATTCTCCGTTTTATAAAACCTCCGTTGATTTAAAACTCGCCGGCGACTTACCGGCCATTAAATTAACCATAAATCTCTCCGGAACCCACATTTAAGTGAAGGGTTGGATTAAGGAGCATCTGTCTCACTACCCTCGAAGAAGGTGAGAGAGAGAGAGAGAGAGAGAGTAGTACTTGGGAGTAATGGAGAAAGGAGCAAGAGAATTAAAAACCCATAACCTCTCTCTCTTCTCCTTGTGTCAAACGCCATTAAAAACCCATCAGTATCAGTTACGCAATTTCTCAAGGCAGACAGGTAAGAAGAGAGAGAGAGTTTTTTTGGAATCTGTAATGAATGTAAAAGGAGCGAAAGGTGGGAGAAACGAATGCACTAATGGCGGCTTATGATAGGCTCGAGACGAAAGGTCGATTCATCAATTACTCTTGTTTCTCTCTCTCACTGTAGAAACCATAATTACGGATTTTGAATTTGTTTTTTTTTTTATGAGATTCTTCTTCTTCTTTGTGGAGATTATCGTTTTCCAAATCTAGCCTTTTCTTCTTCCCTTAATATCTATTCTCTGATTCTCTTCCGTTTCGTTTTTTTATTCACCATTATACTCTTAGAGATCTTTTGATTAAGGGAAGATAAAAAGTTTGAAACTTTTTTTTTTGTTCCACTAGGTTGTGTTAATGGCGACAGTTGTGTGATGGTCCAGAGTTAGCAAGTTTTACTTTCTGGTTTGGTTAAAAGGACAGAGGAAAAAGGGTTTGTTACTGTTTTGTTCTTCTTCTAGTGTCTACACGTTACTTTGGTGAAGATGGAGTTTCTCGGCGACAGTCAAAATCACGACAGTTCTGAAACGGAGAAAAAGAACAAGAAGAAGAAGCGATTTCACCGCCACACACCTCACCAGATCCAACGGCTTGAATCGTAAATAACCCGTTTTCTCTCAATGCTTTCTCTGTTTTTGTTTTATGTTCTCTGATGATTTTTGTTTTTGTTTGTAGAACTTTCAATGAGTGTCAACATCCAGATGAGAAACAGAGGAACCAACTTAGTAGAGAATTGGGTTTGGCTCCAAGACAGATCAAGTTCTGGTTTCAAAACAGAAGAACTCAAAAGAAGGTTCCTTTTTGTTTTTAAGTCTCTCTTTCTTGTTTGTCTACATGAAAATCTCTTAATTTTGCTTCTCTGTTTGTTTTGTTGCAGGCACAACACGAGAGAGCTGATAATTGTGCATTGAAAGAAGAGAATGACAAGATTCGTTGCGAAAACATTGCTATTAGAGAAGCTATTAAACACGCCATTTGCCCCAACTGTGGTGATTCTCCTGTTAATGAAGACTCTTACTTTGATGAACAAAAGCTTCGCATCGAAAATGCACAGCTTAGAGATGAGGTTTTTGTTTGTTTTTTGAAACCTTTTGCTGCATTGTGATTGTCTTTAGTGTTAAAATTCAATAAACATTTGATGTTTCTTTTTGCAGCTCGAAAGGGTTTCGAGTATTGCAGCTAAATTCATAGGGAGACCAATCTCTCATCTTCCACCATTACTAAATCCGATGCATGTTTCACCATTAGAGTTATTCCATAGCGGTCCTTCACTTGATTTTGATCTTCTTCCAGGAAGTTGTTCTTCAATGGCTGTTCCTAGTTTACCATCTCAGCCAAACTTGGTTTTATCAGAGATGGATAAGTCTCTTATGACCAACATTGCTGTGACCGCTATGGAAGAATTGCTTAGGCTACTTCAAACAAATGAGCCTCTATGGATCAAAACTGATGGATGCAGAGATGTTCTCAATCTCGAAAGCTATGAGAATATATTTCCAAGATCAAGTACTAGTGGTGGAAAGAAGAATAACCTTCGAATGGAAGCATCTAGATCTTCTGGTGTTGTTTTCACTAATGCTATTACACTTGTGGACATGCTCATGGACTCTGTAAGCAATAACCAAATCAAAGTTTTTGTTTTAACAGTTGGTGTTCTGATTTTTTCTCATGTGGTTTTTCATTAATTTGCAGGTCAAATCAGCAGAGCTTTTTCCCTCAATCGTTGCATCATCTAAAACCCTTGCAGTGATTTCATCGGGATTGCGTGGAAACCATGGAGATGCATTGCATTTGGTAAAAACAACCACTAACTATTAAATTAGATTATCTTTTTTTGTTTGAAGCTTTTGAATAACTTCGCTTTGGCTTGTGTTAGATGATTGAAGAGGTTCAAGTGCTTTCGCCATTGGTAGCTACGCGTGAGTTCTGTGTGCTAAGATATTGTCAGCAGATTGAACATGGAACTTGGGCAATTGTAAATGTCTCCTATGAGTTTCCTCAGTTTACATCTCAATCTCGGTCATATAGATTTCCTTCTGGTTGCTTGATCCAAGATATGTCCAATGGCTATTCAAAGGTGTGTAACTGTCCTGTGTGTTTCATTCTTTTAGCATCTCGAACCATTTGATTGTATCTTTTGAATGTACAACAACAGGTTACTTGGGTCGAACATGGTGAATTCGAGGAGCACCATGAGATGTTTAAAGATCTTGTTCATAAAGGATTAGCTTTTGGGGCTGAACGTTGGATTGCTACTCTCCAAAGAATGTGTGAGCGATTCACGAATCTATTGGAACCCGCAACATCATCTCTTGATCTTGGAGGAGGTAATCAAAGACAGTTTTTAGAAATCTTTAATTGTTCAGCTAATTAAAACATAAGTTACCGATTTGAATCAATTCAGTGATTCCATCGTCAGAAGGGAAGAGAAGTATAATGAGACTTGCTCACAGAATGGTAAACAATTTCTGCTTGAGTGTTGGCACATCTAATAACACTCGCTCAACGGTTGTCTCGGGACTGGATGAATTTGGAATCCGTGTGACTTCGCATAAGAGCCGTCATGAACCAAATGGAATGGTTCTATGTGCAGCCACCAGTTTCTGGCTCCCAATTTCTCCACAAAACGTCTTCAATTTCCTCAAAGATGAAAGAACTCGGCCTCAGGTACTACACAGATTTAACATTTCCATAGAAACAAGAATCATTTGGTGTTTAAAAATTAATAGTCCAAGTGACATTTTCTTTATTTTTCCTCTGTTTTGGTTTTATAGTGGGACGTTCTTTCAAATGGAAACTCTGTTCAAGAAGTTGCTCATATCACAAACGGATCAAATCCTGGAAACTGCATATCGGTTCTTCGTGTAAGCTTCCTCATTCGAAACTATACAGATTTTTGGATTCTTGATTCTCCTGATTGATAATTTGGTTCCTCTGTTTTCATCAGGGATTCAATGCATCATCATCACAAAACAATATGCTGATTCTACAAGAAAGCTGCATAGACTCAACAAGCGCAGCGCTTGTGATCTACACTCCAGTGGATTTACCAGCATTGAACATAGCAATGAGTGGTCAAGACACATCTTATATTCCGATATTACCCTCGGGTTTTGCCATTTCGCCAGACGGAAGCAGCAAAGGAGGAGGAGGATCATTGATAACGGTTGGGTTTCAGATAATGGTGAGTGGTTTGCAACCGGCAAAACTGAACATGGAGTCAATGGAGACAGTAAATAATCTCATCAATACCACTGTCCACCAAATTAAAACGACCTTAAATTGTCCTTCAACTGCTTGACGACACCATTAAAAGCCATTTCCCCATCTGATTTCTGAGAAGGGTCTTCAATGAGCAGAGAAGTGAAAGTCATTAATAGTATTTTGTCTTCAATGCCTGCAAAGAGTGTAAGAAATCATTATTCTTCTGGGTATCACTCTCTCTCTCTTTCTTGTTCTTTTTTTTGGGTTTTTTTTTTTTTTAAGTCTCTTTCTTTTTTAAGCTTAGTGGGAAAGTGGGAGTCAAGAACGCACCATGCACAAATGTTTTTTTTGTATGGTTCGGGCATTGACTTCTGTTTGTTTGTTTATTTACGTCTTTTTGTCTAATTACAATTACCAAGTTACTATTTTTTCTTGGTTTTGTTTATTCCATAGTGGCCATTAATCTCTCTATTGCTATTGAATTATAGTTTATAATCTGTCCATTAGCATAAGCTGAGACATTAATGTGATAGTATGGGTGGGGATCTTAGGACAAGTAATGGAACTGAGAAGTTTTGATAAGTTGTTTTTTTAGAGAATCAGAACCACACTCAATATATCAAATGAGTTCAAACGTATTGACAAACATTATTTCCCAAACTTCGAGAAGACTATCCAATTACTCTCAATTATCTCACATTGTTCTTGCACTCGCAGTGCTTCCAGAATATCCTGTAAATAACTTCATGGTTTCTTCTTCTCCATCAATTTGAATTTGCACCTGAAAATCCTCTGGAGATGAACAGATCCTCTCCAAAGCTGTAGCAACTTCTCTCATATCTGGCCGAGTCTTCCCTGTCTTCTTCAGACACCTCAATGCTAGATTTGCCACTGCAATCACCTGTTCCAGCTTGCAATCATTTCTTATTCGAGCATCGATGATCTCAAACAATCTGTTCTCTTTCATTGCAAGTCTGAAATAATCTGCCAACCCTGTTATTTCTTGAGTCTCTGAAAGGGTTATAACAGGCTTCTCTCCAGTAATAAGCTCTACTAGGACAACCCCGAAACTATAAACATCACTTTTTTCAGTAAAATGGCTGGACCCGTAGTATTCTGGATCCACATACCCGACTGTACCCGATATTACCGTTGTCCAATGAGTATGATCTATGGAAACTGATCTTGAAGTTCCAAAGTCAGACACTTTAGCTCGGTATTTCTCATCTAGTAATATGTTTGTTGACTTGATATCTCTGTGATAAATTGGAGAACATGCAGCAGTGTGTAGATACGAAAAAGCTCCCGCGATATCTACAGCAATGCGCATACGTACACCCCATAACACCGTGTAGTCGTCAAATTCTTCATGGAGATGCTGAAAGAGGTTTCCGTTGGTGATAAACTCGTAAACAAGAACAGGAACTTCGGTCTCAAGACAACATCCCAAAAGCTTCACGACGTGTCTATGGTTGATCTGGGAGAGAATAATGACTTCGTTGATGAACTCTTGTAGTTTGTCTTCATCTACAACATTGGATTTCTTGACTGCAACAGACCTACCATCTACAAGCATACCTTTGTACACAGTTCCTTGGCCACCTTGTCCAATAACCCTATTTTCGTTGAAGTTATCAGTGGCTTTTTCCAGCTCTCTTGAGCTGAATATTTTTGTTTTTTCAACTCTGCCTTGAGTTGTAGTTAACTGTTGCTGCAACAATAGTCCTCCATTACGTTTGAAGAATTTCCTCTTGCGCTTTGTCATCCTTTTTTTTCTAAGAAGCTTTTTCAACCACCATATACCACCGGCTACGATTAAGACAAAAAAACCTGCACCTAATCCTGTACACACCACACAAGAAAAACTAGATGTTCATCATCATTTCTTTTTGATATCTAAAATTTTTTTTGCTTGAATTTCGATATATAACAAATTAAATTCAATGACTTACCTAGCATTGTTTCTGGAATGTGGTAGTCCACGCAATCATAATCTCCCGGTGTATTCTTACATTTTTTGCGATATAAAATATCGGTATTCCAACAGCGATTGTTACGGTCAGCACACTCATTAATATCTGCAAACGAAAGAGTCATGAAACGACGTATAAAAAAAGGAAGTCATGAATTTGTACTGAAATGATTGGTGATGTGAGACACACAAGGAAAAAATAAACTTGAAGGAGAAATTACATATATACCTTGGCAGTCGTCTACAGTAAGGTATGGATTACCCTTGTACCCTCTAGCACATGCACAACTTGCATAATTGATCCCGGAGGCTGTATAATTATCGCATGTGCATTTTGCTGTACTCTTAACAGAGAGTGTTTTACTTTGATCGAACTCTTCTCTGTTTTGGCAGCCCAATGATTCTAGAAACAAAAGTTTCTTCGTTTGGATGAACCATCCTAGGCTAACAATAGCGTAGCCCTTAGAGAAAAACTGTTCAGGATTGGTTGCATTCGATAAAGTGTAGACTTCATCTGTTAAAAAGGCAACTTTGCATCCTCCTCCCGTTGTAAGGTTTCCATTACTAGTGTTCGATATTGTGACACCAATGAGTTGTTGAGCACCAACAGGTACTTTTGCCTGGCAGCATCCGTTCCCGTTGCAGATTGTGTCGCTCTGATTTTCCGTTATATTACAAAATGGTAAGTAGTTGTTAGGTAAGATGCCTATAGGGTTGTTGTAGTGGGAAGTGGAGCATCGAATTTTGTCGAAAAAAGGGATGCTCTGCGAATTGGTGCTTGTAGTGCAAGTCGACTCGCATCCCACCATCTTTGGTTCCACATTTGTCAGCGACGCCTTGTTGTTGCAACCAACAGCCACGAGGTTGTTTTGGTCCCCAAAAAAAAAAGGAGTGTCCGTCAAATTCAACGTCAATCCATGATCTTTTCCATCGCTAGAACATCCCATGGATGCAATCGGGCTTTTGACACGAATTGAAGAGACTTTCACGTCACTAGAAAAGCCATTATAATTGGCCCACGGAAGCGAAATATTCACAACCTCCATGTTTAGTTTGGGAAGGAAGGGGAAAACTTTCCTGGAAATAGCATTTGGTAGACATTCGACTTGGTACCACTCGTCGAGATAGCAACCTTTTTCTCCGATTCCAAAGGGGAACGGGATCTGGATATCTCCACATTTGTGTGTACAAGATCTTGAATGTAGGATGTGTAGATTTAGAAAATAGAGGAGAATCAGAAAGTAGTAATTCTTGTTTCCCCTCATGATGTTGAATGTTTCTTGTTAAACAAGTATGCACGGCTGAGACGGATACTTATAGAGTCATAGGGAAGGTTACGTTAATTGTTTCTTTAGACCAGTTCTGCTGGTACAATATATGCTACTTGTTTTTTATGTCGGAAGCGCTTCTGGCCTTAGAAGAAATCAAACAGTGACGAATATCTGATAGCTCAAAACATCTTAAGTCAACGCCCACCATCCCTTTTTTTTTTTACTTACTACAGCTCAAAGTTGCAGCCAATCAAATTTAAAATTCATCATAGTTAAACCAAGTGGTTCTCAAAAGGTACGGATTAAGTACTATTTCCTTTGCCCAATTCCTTTCTCAAAAGGTCTCTATGAGCGAAATTTTCTACACATAAATTGATTTTTTCTCTTCTTATTGTGTGTAACGAACATGTCTAAGAACATTATAATATATTTGAGTCTACGGTCACCATCATTTGCAACTACCACTACTTGCTTGTGTTTGAAAATCATCCAATCATCCTTTTTTTTTTTTTTTTGTCTAAAAAAATCATCCAATCATCCATGATATCAAAGAATATGTTTTCTTTGATCGCAAATCCAATATGCTAATGTTTCCCCAAACCACTAGGCTAGTTTATTTGGATACCTTGATTTTGAAGATACGGACACCTGGTTAATGGAGCTAATTTGGTAACTCACAGCTACTAACCGGAATTTGGTCCGGTTAACAGTGCAATACCGTAACGATGGAAAAAGTAAGCGAAATGGGCGGAGGCTGAGGTGACTATTTTATTTAGGCCCATGGGCCAGAATCGATAAACTGAATTACAAAATGGCCGACACCGATTCAGATCGCCGGCGGATATTCAGATCTCCTCCACCTTACATTCTCCGAGGAATTTAACCTTTACCTACAAATCTAAGCTTCTGTTCGTTGACTTGAAAAACTGGTAGCTATAAGTCAAAGTCCCCTTTCTCAATCTCTCATCGTCTTGTAGAAACTTTTTTTGAACTAATTGACTCGACAATGGCGAACACCACAGGATCCGGTACGTCAATCTTTAAATTTCATCTCTCTGTTTGATCTGAATTTAATGTTTCCATGTCTATATACGAAATTTTGTGGAATTGACTTTAGACGGTCGTGGAAATATTGAAACCCTAGGTCTTTAATTCCTCGTAATTCTTCTGTGCAGAGATGAAATCAGGTTCGTTTATGTTAGAGAAATCGGCCAAGATCTTTGTCGCTGGACATAGGGGATTGGTTGGATCTGCCATTGTCCGCAAGCTCCAGGATCAGGGTTTCACCAATCTCGTCCTTCGAACCCATTCCGAGCTTGATCTCACTAGCCAATCCGATGTTGAATCCTTCTTTGCTACAGAGAAACCAGTTTATGTCATCCTCGCTGCGGCTAAAGTCGGTGGGATTCATGCCAACAACACATACCCAGCTGATTTCATTGGTGTCAATCTCCAAATCCAGACCAATGTGATCCACTCTGCTTATAAGCATGGTGTGAAGAAACTCCTCTTCCTTGGTTCCTCTTGCATTTACCCCAAATTCGCTCCTCAACCGATTCCCGAATCTGCGCTTCTCACTGGCCCGCTTGAACCGACTAACGAATGGTATGCGATCGCCAAGATCGCAGGGATTAAGATGTGTCAAGCTTACCGGCTTCAGCATCAATGGGATGCCATCTCCGGTATGCCCACGAATCTCTACGGTCAAAATGATAATTTCCACCCGGAGAATTCCCATGTGTTGCCTGCTCTCATGAGGAGGTTCCATGAAGCTAAAGCCAACAATGCTGACGAAGTTGTGGTTTGGGGAAGCGGAAGCCCGTTGCGGGAGTTTTTACATGTCGATGATTTGGCTGATGCTTGTGTTTTCTTGATGGATCAGTACAGCGGATTCGAGCATGTGAATGTAGGAAGTGGTGTCGAAGTGACGATCAAAGAATTGGCTGAGTTGGTGAAAGAAGTTGTTGGGTTTAAAGGAAAGTTAGTTTGGGATTGCACAAAACCAGACGGGACACCACGGAAACTGATGGATAACTCGAAGCTCGCGTCTTTGGGATGGACACCGAAGATTTCTCTAAAAGATGGTCTCTCCCAAACTTATGAATGGTATTTGGAGAATGTTGTGCAGCAGAAGCAGTAAAAAAACAACGTCCAAATTCAACGCAATTCATTCTCTTCACACGTGAATGTTTGTGCGTCTGAAATTTGGTTTCAATACAGATCTCTATCTCTTTAATGTAATTTTTGTATTCATGGATTTCATACCGTGCAAGTTAAGCAAACTTATTTTGTAATAAATGTAATATTGTTGTTGAGATTATCAGTAATAAACAAGTCCGTTTGTTGATAAACTCAATTGGTGCTAAGACGAGGTAATCGATTTGATAAATTTGTGGATATTGAAATTCTGGTTAGTTGATAAACCAAAAGATTATGGTTTGGTACGCGCTAATACCGGTGATTAATTATGGCACAAAAGAGCCCAGTAAATATTTATTCGCCCAGTTTATTTTGGGCCTAATGGGCCAAGATTCTCATCGAGCATCCAACGGTAGAGATCGAGACTTGTTTATGGAATAACTGATATCCACCGTTAGATGAAGAGACGAGCTTGGCTCCGAATAGCATATAGTTAAAGGGCAAAACCCTGCGCCGCCCGCGTCTCTCTTCTCTGTTTCTTCTTTTTCTTTTCTTTTTCTTATCTCCACTCTTCGAACAAGGAAGAACCCTAATCTCAAGGTAAATCCATCACTGTAATTTCCCTTTCTTTAAGTGCTTTATCTCTCCGGTTTTAGGGTTTTTCTAATTTCCGATTTTGTAAATGGGTTCAGCTCAAAATTGCTTTCTTGATTCATTTCGCGATAGGATTAGTTTGTCGGGGTTTGGGATTTCGTAGACGATATTTACTGGGTTTTCAACTTCTTTGTGTGTTTGATTGGGGGGGATTTGGTATACCTAATCGATTGAAAAAGATGAAACTTAGGTTAAGACTAAAAGTAACATCATCGGTGTCTGAAGATTTACTTCTTTATTCGCATTAGTTTCTCTTTATACTAAGAAGAGTTTTTGAATGTATTTTTAGAAGTTAATGAGTTCCATTGAATCTTTTGGATGTGATTTGGGTATTGATAGATGTTGCTTCTTATTATGCTTTATTATACATAGATGAATAGGGAAAAGTTGATGAAGATGGCTAACACTGTCCGCACTGGCGGAAAGGGTACCGTCAGAAGGTATTAGAGTTTTTCTCTACCAATTTCATTGTTCAATACTTTGCATTTTACTCTGATTTGTGTTATGAAACCATTTGGATTTTACTTGTAGAAAGAAGAAGGCTGTGCACAAGACCAATACAACTGATGACAAGAGGCTCCAAAGCACTCTTAAGAGGATTGGAGTTAACTCTATTCCCGCAATTGAAGAAGTTAACATCTTTAAGGATGATGTTGTTATCCAATTCATCAACCCTAAGGGTAAGTCTTTTTTAACCATTTTTATCCATACATGAGAACCATTTTTTTTATGTTACTTTGTTGATCTTTTGAATGTTACTACAGTTCAAGCTTCAATTGCTGCAAACACATGGGTTGTTAGCGGTTCTCCTCAGACCAAAAGTATGCATCTGATCATCTTTTTGATTCTCTATTTTCTTGTGTCTTCTTCATTGCATCTTCACTGATTGATGTAAAACCTGTTGCTTCCTGCAGAATTGCAAGATATCCTTCCTCAGATTATCAGCCAACTTGGTATGTACCATGTAGTAACTGTACAGCTCTTACATGTCTTCCCCGATCCTAAGATCCTTAACTAAATGTTACTTTGACCTCTTTCAGGACCAGACAACATGGACAACCTGAAGAAGCTAGCAGAGCAGTTCCAGAAACAGTCTCCTGGTGAAGGTAAGGCCTCAGCAACCATACAAGAGGAAGATGATGACGATGTCCCAGAGCTAGTTGGAGAGACATTCGAAGCTGCTGCTGAAGAGAAATTACCAGCTGCTGCTGCTTCTTCTTAGAGAGAAAAGAGCGAGACCACATCACAAAAAAAAAAGAAAACCGCACTTTGATTTTTACATATCTTTATAATATGTTTGTTCGCTCGATCCTTTTTGTAGTTTCCGACCAGATCCTTGTTTTCCATCTAATGACTTAAGGTTTTATCCAATTATTTGATGTCTTATTGATTCTTTGACAGCGAATCAGGTTCTCTCGTCTTCTTCACTATGTGGATTAGAAGATTTTGATGTGATACATTGTCTTGTTGCATAAAAACCATTCCACCTGTACTGTTTGAGTTTCTTCTCAAACTTTCCAGACATTTCAGCATTCTCTCTACAAATTCTTTCTCAGAGACATGTCTCTTCTTCGTCAAATCTCAATCTTTCTGAGTTTTCGTAAACCATGGCTTCTCTCTTTGTATCTACTCCCTCACCTTCCTTGGCTCTCAAATCCTGTCACAACTTGCGTCTTCGTCGCTTTGACAGTCCCATATTTCAGAAATTTGGGAAAGCTTACGTGAATCAGACAACGAGAAGCCGAAATCTTTTGAGATGTTCAGCTGAAGATGATCGAGTTCGTGAACCTGTGAAGGAAGCTTCGTCTCCGGTGGCGATAGCGGAGGAGCAAAAGGAGGACCACGCGAGCAATAATGCGCCGCCTTCTCCAGAAAGCAGTGAAGAAGAGGAGGAGAAGAAATCAAAGCAGCAAGAGATGGATTGGAAAACAGACGAAGAGTTTAAGAAGTTTATGGGGAATCCATCAATCGAAGCTGCTATAAAGCTTGAGAAGACGAGAACTGATCGTAAGCTCAAGGAGCTGAACAAGGAAAGCAACAGTCAGAATCCGATCATCGGAATTTTGAACAGCTTGGCTCGTGATACTTTGACCAGAGAGAAGGAAAGGCTTGAGAAAGCAGAAGAGACTTTCAAGGCTCTTGATCTCAACAAGGTAAAGAATGAATTCATTTCTCTTACGCTATGATTCTTGTTTGTTTTGTTGGAATGAATCGTTTTTGAAAGTGTTTTGTGATGATGGACAGTTGAAGAGTTGTTTTGGGTTCGATACGTTTTTTGCTACGGATGTTCGTCGGTTTGGAGATGGAGGAATCTTCATTGGGAATCTGAGAAAACCCATTGATGAAGTCACACCTAAGCTTGAAGCTAAGCTATCTGAAGCAGCAGGGCGTGATGTTGTTGTGTGGTTTATGGAAGAAAGGTCCAATGAGATCACAAAACAGGTAGAACAAGGCCTTCAAAATTCAGATGTTCTTGATTTCTGGATTAAGGCTAAAAATGTTGGATTGTTTGTTCTCTGTGTTTGTAAAGGTGTGTATGGTGCAACCGAAGGCGGAAATCGATCTACAATTTGAATCAACTAGATTAAGCACTCCTTGGGGATATATTAGTGCAATTGCTTTATGTGTTACAACCTTTGGAACCATAGCGCTTATGAGTGGGTTTTTCCTTAAACCTGACGCCACTTTTGATGACTACATTGCTAATGTAGTTCCTCTCTTCGGCGGGTTTCTTTCCATCTTAGGCGTCTCAGAGGTAAACTGAAGCAAATCAAGAGAACTAGCTCCAAGTTGCAGTGTTGTATACATATAACTAAACTTGTTAGTTGTTTGTTTCAGATTGCAACCAGAGTAACCGCTGCGCGACACGGTGTCAGATTAAGCCCGTCGTTTCTGGTGCCATCGAATTGGACTGGTTGCTTAGGAGTTATGAACAATTACGAGTCATTGCTTCCTAATAAAAAGGCGTTATTCGATATCCCAGTAGCCCGTACAGCTAGCGCGTACCTGACCTCGCTTCTGCTTGCAGCAGCTGCGTTTATATCTGATGGTAGTTTCAATGGAGGAGACAATGCTTTGTAAGTATTTCATTAAATAACTCTCTCTTTTTTTTTGTTACTGTATCGACACAGTTTTTTTTTTTTTTTTTTTTTTTTGTCTCTGATTGGTTTTTCAACATTCTATATAGGTATATAAGACCACAGTTCTTCGATAAGAATCCGTTGCTTTCGTTTGTCCAATTCGTTGTTGGTCCTTATGCGGATGATCTTGGTAATGTATTGCCTAACGCGGTTGAAGGAGTTGGTGTTCCAGTTGATCCGCTTGCTTTCGCTGGTCTTTTGGGTAAACTTCATAACTTTTGTTGGTTTATATTACTGGTTTCTTATCATTTTCTAAACCGCATTTAAACTCTTTTCAGGTATGGTAGTGACTTCATTGAACTTATTACCATGTGGAAGACTCGAAGGAGGTCGAATCGCTCAAGCCATGTTTGGAAGAAGCACAGCTGCAATTCTCTCATTTACCACATCACTCCTACTCGGTATCGGAGGTCTCAGTGGAAGTGTCTTATGTTTAGCTTGGGGGCTATTCGCAACCTTCTTCCGCGGTGGTGAAGAAACACCCGCAAAAGACGAAATCACCCCCCTAGGTGACGATAGGTTCGCTTGGGGTATAGTCCTTGGACTCATATGCTTCCTCACTCTCTTTCCTAACAGCGGAGGTACTTTCTCCACTTCATTCTTCAATGGACCTTTCTTCCGTGGTGATGATTTCTAAAGAATGTAGATTAAGTTGCAGAAACAAGCATTATTGTTCTTATTTATTAATGGTGTTACAAAAGCATTTGTAAATTATTGTGGAATTTGTTGTATCTAGTATGCTTTTTTGAACATAACCTTTAATGGAACCTCACTTAAAGCAAGTCTTCTCTTTCCATCTTGCACAAACACTCCAACGTCTCTACAGATGACTTTGCAGAAATTGCAGACAGTAGGACAAAACCTGATCTTGTAATCTTTTTCAAATTCGTCGATCTTGAACCAGTTACCAACCGTTTTCTGACCCGGATTCCCTTCAACGCCACAAGTTGAAATGAACCATTGACTCGTCCTCTCGTCGAAATTGGCTAATTCCCATATCGAGGTTGGAGAGAATTTGATGTTTTGATCAGTTGAGACACGGACGATTCTTGATTTGTCATATGGTGAGAATTTAACCGGTAGGCCTTGAGAGACTTCGAACTGGTCTTGGATCACACTTCTCGGACAGGTTTCGTTCTTGAAGTTGGACATGGTTAATCCGCCTCCGCGGCCGCGAACTACAGGCAAGATGTAGTAGTTGTACTTCGTTAGGAGAGGTTTTCCATTGATATCCTTAACTGGTTCGACGGCAGCTTCGGTGGTGGCTCCACGGTGGCTGGTAAAGACGGCAAAGAGGAGGAAGATATAGAGAAGTGAGGACATTGTAGGAAGATTTCTTTTTATGGAAAGTTTTTATTAAATGAATTGAAAAGAGATGAGAAAAGGGATTTCTATTTATAAGCCGGATCGGATGTACTATGAAATTGTCAAAGTCAAAGTACATCTGATTTTGGTTAAATACTTAAATGCTCGGTGTATTAATTTAGTTAGTGCCCTGGAGCATATGATAACTTCGCTGACGTGTTGATATGTTTATCTTTATGGTCAAAGCTTCACGACGTCATATTTTGATCACTCCTGACGAAATCTCCCTTTCATTGATATAACTGGATACTGTCAAAATGTAAATTAGATAAGACCGACCACTATTTAAATCTTAAAATAAAGATTAGTATAAATGGGCTTGAATTGGGCTTAGGCCTAAGATTAACACAAGATCGTTTACCGTAAAGAAAGATACGGTCTCTTCTCCACCCGCGAGAAGATAATGAGAGTTTCGCCGGCGGCAACACTCTCAGTCTCTTTAACTATTCCACTACCTCTTGCTTCAACCAAAGCTCGTTTCTCCGGCGTCCCTTTTCGATTCAAACAATATGTTTTCAATTATCAGATTCTCTCGCGACCAGGACGTCTCGTCGCAGCGAAACCCACCAGAAGATGGACCTTCTCCTGCAAATGCCGAAACAGAGGAAGAAATGGTTACGCGAAATTCGATGACGAAGGAGAAGATTTCATTGTGGTAAACTTCTTTCGGTTTGTATCAATCGGAGATCCTGAGGCTGTGATTGAGAAGCACCTCTCTTTCTTAAAGGTCCGTCTTTTTACAGAATGTGAATTGTCAAGTTGTCTGAAAAAAAGAATTTAGATTCTGAAACAGTCTTGAACTTGTGAGCATTTCTCTTTAGTTCATAATTTGAAGCTTTTCTATGGTTTTTTGGCCTTCCAGGATTTGAATATACGAGGTCGGATATATCTCAATGAACAAGGAATTAACGCGCAGGTATTGTTATCATTTTGCAATCACATATTTAGCTTTGCATTAATCCTGCATATCAAGCTAGGACAAATCTTGAGTGTTTACTTGTTGTAAGTCTTGTTTTCTGCAGTACAGTGGACCATCTAAAGATGCTCTTGCATATGTTGAATGGTTAAAAGGAGATGAAAGATTCTCGGATTTGCTTGTCCAGATGTCTCCTGCTATTAATGGTCATGCATTCCCTAAGTTGAAGCTACAGAACAAACCCTCCTTAGTTCAGGCAAGCTACTACCCATGACACCACTTTAAATCTATGAAAATTTTCTTACTTATAGTGCAATGCCTCTGAAATATTGTGTAAGATTACTTAGCATTAGTTGCGTTTCTTTATTCCTATAGTATGAAGGAGGAATTTCACACCTTCCTCTACTTGAGCCACCAATGCGAGCAAAACCCTTAGAACCATCTGAATGGAAAAGAAAACTGAAAGACTTAACGGATGATGATGAAGCATCACCTTCATCAAGTAGTGGCAGAAGCTGCATATTATTGGATGTCAGAAACGGTACTTTAGTTTCTTTCAGTTTATCTACAGTTACTGATTTGTCTTGATTATCTGTATCTACGTGACTGATCATTATTTTCTGATAGTAATGTTGTGGTTCTCCACTTTATTTTCAGTTGTGCTCCCCTGTAATTTGTTTGTGATTCTTAAAGGGCGTCACATATTACTCTAGTTGAATTTACTGGTATATGGAGGTGATAGACATTTGATTTGAACAGGTTATGAGTGGGATGTTGGTCATTTTCGTGGGGCACGTAGACCTGAAGTTGATTGCTTTCGGAACACTTCTTTTGGACTATCTGATGAAAAGGTACAACTCATCCTAAACCATGGCAACTGAAAAGTTCCTATAACCTGTAGATTAGAAGAAAGTGATCACTCGAGTCTCTTCTATAGGTTACATTACTATGAAATACTGAAGGTAAAGGTAACTGACACTTAATTTTGACTATGCTTTTACACTATAGGAAGCTCCTTTAGACCCTTTGATAAATGTTGACAAGGAAAAGACAGATATACTGATGTACTGTACTGGAGGCATACGCTGCGATGTATATTCAACAGTTTTAAGGTAGCACTGTGGCTTCTACTTCTTCATTTTTCTTACTAATATCTCCTCAAAAGAAGTTTTCCCAAATAACTTTCTTGTGAGAAGTCAAATTTCTTTTCAGACAGCGGGGTTTCAAGAACCTGTATACACTGAAGGGTGGAGTTTCCCATTATCTGGAAGAAGAAGGCACAGCTGAATGGGTTGGAAATCTGTTTGTGTTTGACTCTCGTCTCTCTCTCCCACCAGCTGCCTACAGTGACAAGGCCGTGGATAAACCCGGAAGTGACAACGCCGAGGATAAAGCCGGAAGAACTCCACAAACGCCCGTGGATACAAGTTTTGCAAAATGCTATATTTGTGATTCACAAGTTCAGGAAATAAGACATCGGAACTGTGCTAACCTTGACTGCAATCGGCTTTTCTTGTGAGTTGCATTATCGTTTTTGTTACATCTTCTTATGTCTATTAACAAATAGTGTATGACTTAGGAAAGTTTAATTTTGATGGACGATGACTGATCATTTTCCATTGTTTTCCCTAAACTTAGCTCTATCTTTGATTCAGATGCTGTGCAGAATGTGTTGTCGACTTGAAGGGATGTTGCTGTTCAAACTGCATTACTGCTCCACGACTTAGACCTGTCTTGCATGGAGTAAAGAGATATGAGAAATGGCATGTATATCGTGATTCAGAAGTGCAAACTGCGCCATTGGTTTGATCACGGCTGAGAGATTTTAGAGGCTAGTTATGAAGACAATTCATGCCTTGTCACTTTATATTATGTTCACTGCATTCCCCATGTGGTTGTTTACAGTGTTTTGTTTGGCCTATCATGGGCAAGTGATCAGATGAGAAACAGCACACAGCAAAAGCAGAAGAGTGCTGAAGAAGAAGCTAATGAAGTTAATCAGAAGCCTTTTCCAGGGAGAACAACTACTAGTCATTCTTAGAGGTTCTTCGGGTGTGACATTTGTCAGAACTCAGAACTCAATTTTTCATTTCAACATGTACAAACAAAGCTTGTAACAATTCACAACTTAATCTATCTGCTGTAATTGCGGCACAATGCAAACTGTAATGCAACAAGATAGTGCTTGTTACTACCAAAGTAGAAGAATAAATGTAGTAGTGATTATTTTAGACAAATCCGTGGTTTTAATATTTCTATAACTAACACACTTGAAGTTTCTCAGCTGTCACATTACATGGAGATTTGATATTGCAGGCCTAGTGAAATATGGTGGCTTTGCTTTAATCAACTTTCTTGAAGTGTCTTCAAACACTGGACAAGCTCAAACTCTACCATCTGCGAGCTCCATCTGTTCGTGTAGCAATGTAATTTCTCAGAGAAGGAGACTGGGTAAGAGCGTCTGGTGCAACTGTGGTGTTCTGGGTTCCATTCTTCTGCTTCATCCTTCTGCGTGCTATGTAACCTCTGACCCAAGGAGTAACATCCTCGTTGGTCTTAATCATGATGAAGAAGATGATGCGGTAGATAATAATCATGCTAAGAATCACACTGAGGTTAATCCATTTTGATCGGTGCAGGTCGATCTGGAAGACGTTCTCCAGAACATATTCACCCGGAATCTTGAAAGCACTCCCCTGACTGTCAAACATCAAGCCTCTCAGATCATTCTGGTACTGACCCTGGAGAACAAGCAAAACAAAAAAATATTAGCTCTTTGCTATTATGATCACATGATGATGAGCTGATATGAAACTTTTTTCTTGTTTCAACAATATTTACTTGTAGAGCCCAGAAGTGGAAGCTGATGTATGACATTGGATAACGCCAGAAAGGTTTTGGGATGTCATTTGGAAGCCTGAAGAATCCAGAAACCAGCATGAAGATCCCCTGAAACAAAAGTACAGATGAGCAGATTTAGGAAGAGCTTCTCTTCTGCTTTTTAAAAGTTGAAAAGATCGCAAAGAAGTCTATGATGAGTCATGGGAGTGGTGGGGAAATCACCTGGATTCCAGCTCCGATGATGATACCCATTAGGAAGTTGGGAACAATGCTAGCTATCGCCATCATTAAGCTCTCTACTACGGTGACACTTGCATAGAGGCAGAGAACAAAGAAGAGGTAGTGAGTGAATCCTGGATGCAGACCCACCATGAAGTAACAGATTGTCCCGGAGATGAAAGTTATCATGATAAGGAATGGCGTTGCAGATAATGTGTTGGCTATCACAAACGCAGCTACTCCATAGTGGCCGTTTAGTCTCTCTCTTTGAAAGACCTGCAATCATTTTCAGTTTAACAAAACCGTTTGTTTCATCAGTTTACGTTAGAAAACTGCAGGAGGGGCTAACTAACCTTCATGTCTTCAACAAAAGAAGGAAATCCACCAATTGACATGAATGTTACAAAGCCAAAGACGAAAGACGCACATGAGCCCCGTGCCTGATTTCACAAACAGAAAAAGGACGGACATGGTGAGAGATAAGATAAAAACTTCAGTTCAAGTTGGAGTGTGAGTTCCTCTCCAATAAATGATATTAGCAAATACCAGAATGGCGCTGTAGCTAGTCCCAACGTTCAGATAGATGGTTCCGATGCAGACTGTGACCAAGATGTAAATTAACAGTCTAAGCCAGTAATATCCAAAGTCCCTTGACATGTTGATGAAGGATCGCTTTGTTAAAGTGTAGGTCTGCAGAAGGAAACTAGCCTGGCTGCCTCCAGAGTCAAGAATAGTCCCTTTCTGTCAACAGAGAAGGGCGGAAACGGGTTAAAAGAGGCAAGAGACTCGTCCTAAAATCAAACAAAAGCTCGATAAAGGAACAAAGAGTACTTACAAATTGGGATATCTCCTCAACCTTAGCCTTTGCTGTGTAGTAGTAATCAGAAGTGTGGTAATAGTCAACCAAGACTCTAATAGCTTCGGCTGTGGTAATCTTCTCCAACGGATCATCGCTTGCTTCAAACTGGGAAATAGAATAACAAGTCTATCAGCAAAATGAAACTTGCAGAGAAATGATATCAGTTAAAAGGGAAGGTTTTTCAGTACCCTTAGCTTCATAGAACCTTTCAAAGAGGCTCTAACTTTGTCAAAGTCTGAGTTTATACATCTCAGGAAATGATCAGAAGGGTTCCTTAACGCAGGACATGGAAACCCAGCTTGTGCAAAGAACTGCATTCGAAAGTAAAATCTTAGATTAGTTTCCAACATTTCTTCAGAGATTGATGTTTTCTTTTGGTCTAGTTTCTTGCCTCATATGCATCTGAAGCTTGACCAAAGTAAACAGTTTTGCCTCCAGAAAGCAGATACAACCGATCAAACAACTCGAAAACCTCACTACTCGGTTGATGGATCGATGCAATCACCGTCCTTCCATCTCGTGATAGCGCACGCAATGTCTGAGTCACAAAGAAAGCAGAAGCACTACAAAGAGAAAAACCGAAACCAAGCATCAGACATTAATCAGTTTACAGAATCGGGAAATTGAGTAAGCTTTCTTTCTGAAACACTTTACCTATCGAGACCACTTGTTGGCTCATCGAGAAACAGTAAACGAGGTCTCATTAGAATCTCAAGAGCAATACTGACTCTTCTCTTCTCTCCACCACTAATTCCACGCAAATGCCAATTTCCTATAACAGTATCTGCACAATCCTGAAGACCCATCTCTATTATTGTCCTCTCCACAAGAGCACGCTTCTCCGACCGTAACATCTTGTCCGGAAGACGAACTCTCGCTGAATACCAAATTGTCTCTCTCACAGTTAACGTCCCAATCAAGTTATCGTCTTGTGTCACATATGCCTGTATAATACCCAAATTCATTAAACATGAGTCAATATATTAAAAAAAAACAAAGATTCCTTAGTTTTTTTTTCTCTTTTCCAACACACTATGAAAATGGCTAAGATCCAAAATCCAAGAACATTCTTGTATGTCATACCAAACAACATGTAAGCTATAACTGAAACCTAAGCAAAAGCATGTGTACGTTTGAAAGATTGTAACCTTTTTATAAAGTTAAAAGTTGTTTTTTATTAAAAAAAAAAGGATGAAAGATAGTAGGTAGCTTAAGGGTTGTGTATAAAATACTAACAGCTGTTCCAAAGGAGAGTTTGGTTTTGCGGCCGTTAAGAAGAACGGTGCCGGAGAGAAAAGCGTTAGCGGCGAGGCGGCTAGCTAGTGCGTCGAGCATAGTTGATTTTCCGGAGCCGGAAGGACCCATGAGAGCCGTGAGAGATCCCGGTTCAGCGTAACCGGTAAGACCTTCAAGAACATTTTGAGTCTCACCATCTCCCATAGTCACCATCACCGTCAGATCTTGCCACGTGAGCCTCGCTGACACGTCTCCGACGAACTCCGTTGGAGCTTTCTCTCTCCATATAGCTTCACTCAACGGACTTAACCCACCAACCGGAAAATTCCCTCCGCCGACTGAAACCGGTACGGTCGTTTGCTGTCTGCTTGCTTCTATCTCCATCTCTTAAACCGAAACAGAGGATTTTTGTTTTTTCTTGAAAGAGAAAAAAAAAGAATCTGAGAAAAAAAAGGAGTTTGTCGAGGAAATGGGGAAAGTATGAACGTTGAACTGATAGAAAAATAAAGTTATCGAGTGAAATTTAAGTAGAAGAAATTCAGGAGTGTAAGAGAGTCATGAGAATTTTGCATGAACAACAAACTTGGACTCGTTTTTATTCTCATGAACTTGGATGACTGAAACAGAACAAACACTTCTCCTTGTTTCTTTTTGGTTGTTTCTCTTTTATCTCTACAAGATAATGAGATTTTTCTTTATTTATTTGTTTTCAAAAATGAAAAAATTTCTTGATTCGAACAAGAAATGAGATAGTTATGAAGACAGCAAAGAGATGGTTGGGAGAAGAATTGAATGAAAAATTAAGAAGAATGTGGGGTCCAATAATGTTGATGTGGTGAATTTTCATCTTTTTTTTGGTTGTTGTTACTTGTTGCATTTAATGTAGTCTGGTAGTCGATAGAAGGTTGCATTTAGTATGAAAATAGACCACCCCCAAATCTGGCCTCTTTTTTTTTAATATATTTAGTTATTTACTTTCATAAAGAAATATATTTGATCGAAGATTGTTATGTATATTATGAATTATGGATTTTTATGTGTATTATAAATTATACCTTATGCTTAAATTCTTAATGGTAATGAAAAGGATTAAAAAGGTTAGTTATGAAGCATCTTATAGAAAATTATATGCTTGAATGAAAGTTACTACTTTGAAATTGAAGTTTTTGTAGTACTTTTTTATTTTAGTTTTTGTCTTTTGAGATATTCATTATAGTTTTTTTTCCCAGTAAATTTCGGTGTAGTAGGAGACATATGATACAAATAATTATTTGTCTTTTAATTATAAAACGTATATAAATGCTGAAAAATTGTTGACAGAAAAGTGCCGAAAAACTAGAAAAGAGTACGAGCCCTATTGTTGATTTGTTGATACTTCTTAATTAAGGACCCTTGATGGCATTCTATGTAGGTCCATTTGTCATTAATGATTAATTCAACAAAATAATTAGGAAATATTGGAAACTAATAAATATATTTTTGAATTGATATGACTTTCGATTTTGTTAGTCAAGTTATCTAAAAATACAGATTCTAACGAATTTCTTTCAAAAAATTTGTATGTTTTCTTTTGGATTTCACTGATATATGATTGAGTAATGCTACTCAGGCCTCAGGGGAAAAGGCACTTTGCTTTATTTAATTTATGGCCAAATATTCCTATTATTTCTATAATTGTTTCAACTAATAAAATTATAGTAGTTCATCCAAAAAAAAATTATAGTATAAAATATTACACTCAGAGGTATTTATGTGTATATGTGGATAAGTACAGTAGTTTTGATAAATAAATATTTTTACAGTATTAGATAGATATTCATACTTTGATGATATAGACAATACATGGATATTTTTTTGACAGCATAATACAGGCATAGGCATTTATAGTAATCAAAACAAATATTCTTATAAGTTCTGTCCCTTTGTTGATTTCCAAAAAGTTATATTGGGCTAAAATGTTTATTAAGTTCTACTAGGTCAACGCATGTGTGATAAAAAGAATCAAAGCCCAAAAACAAAATGGAATATAATATATACGGTGATAATGGGCCTTTAAACAATTAGGCTCAATAATTGAATCCG